GATTCTCGTCTTAAAATGTCTTAAAATCACCTCATTATCAAAATTATAGAATCTATTAATGTATGATCAAAGGCCAAGATTTAGTCCAAACGATGTATAGCAAAAATGTCCAAGGAGGAAAGGTGTAACATTTGCAAGAACTTTTGATGGTTAACTTTGACCGGGAATTTGTGAGAATAATGAACAGTTGGTTATGTCCATTTATTCATTTGAGGGGAGAAATAATGTAACATAGGGAAAAAAAAAAAAAAAAATTGTGTCCTAGCACTAGGGACTGCGGAAAGCCTTCCAACTGTAATCCCTTGTCCTGAAGCATTTATAAGGTTCTGAGGATGGACGGATTGGGTGCGGAGTGGTCCTTCGTTGATGCCTGTGTTCCTCTCTGCCAAGTTTGCAGCCAAGGTGCATTAAATTATGTTTTCTTGTTAGGGATTTGAAAATTGATAGTAACACTTAAATTATGATGATAACTTGTGAATGATGAAAAATCATTACGATCGGTATAATAATAATTTTAATAAAATACAAAATGAATAACAAATTAGTTATTTAACATCTCACAATAATAATAAAAGGGAAAATGAATATTGAAATTTATAACAGCGAAAAAAAAAATTGAAAATAATAGTGGGAATACTACGGATAAGAAAAAGAAATAAAGCTGTGAAAAATGGTAGAGGCATGGCAGGGAATAATCACCCAAAGGAAATCTAGCGTTAGATTTCAACCAGTTAATAGCAGTGCCCGTGTTTTTAAAAAGTCTTACCTAACGCCATCTTCATCATCTTTCCACGTGTCACTCATCCAAAGAGACTGTGTGATTGTGATCGTGACGTTAGCTTTACTTCATCATACACTGTGTGCGCTTTTTTGCAGGAATTGGAATGGAGGAGTTGCAGTGGACTCTCCTTAGTGTCAAGCCTTATAATTTAAGTGGGCTTGGACTTCCAATATGGACGCTGATAAGAGAAATGCTGCCACGTTTTTGCTATTTTTGGAATTGCAGGCCGAGCCTGCCAGTAATTTTGGACTCCTTGTTCCCATTATTTGGTTAGTTTCCCTTTCGTTCTGTTTTTTTCCCTTCGATTGAATGGAAAACATCCTAAATTTGCTGTTTGGCTCTTTTTAAAAATGAAAATAATTTTTTTCCTACGCAGTAAGTAATTGTTTCCCCACTATGTTGTAGGTGATAAACTCACACTTTTAAATTAAAATTATATTTCTATTTTTCTTTGTATTAAATGTTTGACGGCAATTAATACCTATTCGATATCTTTTTTTTTCCTTCAAAAAATAGATTATATTATATTTAGATTTAGGTAATCCGTCTCGATTCTTATTCCCGTAATAGGCAACTTTCGCGTATATTGTTGAGCAACTCAGAATTTATTCTCGCTGGATAACTGGCGAGACTGTACGTTTACAAGATGTTATACCTGATTATGTTGTATATAACCCTCCTATTCCAATTATATGAGACTAAAAATGCGATTACATTACATATATGAATAGCACGACTGTCCAATAAAATTATCACCGAATCAACAATGTGATAAGATATTTAACAATGTTTTTGTATTGATTGAAATAGCACATTCTCAGTAATCATGCATCATCAACTAGAGCGAAATCTTCCAATTTTCTGAATCATGTACATCGCATACATGCGATCGGCATGAATATACTTGCACCATATGTTACCTTTTATTTTGCAAATCATCATGTAGGGTTTTTCTTTCCCCAAATGAGAACATTTTTTCTTAAAGGCAAGTTTTGGAACTTCAAAAGTGTTTTTTTCCCTTTTTTTTCCCGTAAATATAAATTTGACGAACACTTTGGATGTCGAGGAATACATATACATATATATATATATATATATATATATATATACTAGTGATGTCTGGTCGCGCAATGCGCGACCCTGGCCCAATATATCTGTAGATCTTAGAAATATTTGTATCTGAAAAAAAAATATTTTGTATTTGGCCCGATATATTTTAGAAATATTTGAAGAATTTTAGAAATGTTTTATAAGTGTGATGTTTGTATTTGGCAAAAAAATATATTGTATTTGGCCTGGTACGTTTTAGAAATGTGTGAAGATTTTAGAAATATTTTATAAGTGTTACTTCTTAAATATAAATAAACTTGATCAAATATATGTCTTGAAGTAAATGCTAGATAAAATATAAAAGCATCCTAATAAGTTTAAATATTAGTAAGATAATTTATTGATTTTCTCTATTGGTTGTGCCAAATCAATACTTAGTTTTGGAGATTTATATAGCTTTGAAATTAGCTTCTTCCAAAGGGTATACGCTTAATTGTTGGAACTATTTCTTCTAAAAGTTTACAGGTAGTAAAATATCAAAAAATAATTTTGAAACTGGTTAATTGTTGAAACTGGTTGATCACAAATATGAGAATGAAAATAATATAAATTTGCATAGGTTTCAAGATATAGCAAAAAAGAACTCACCTCACGATGGCAAATAAAAAAAAAAAAAAGTAAAAGATAGCCCATTAAAGTTTGAGAATTTTTATTTTTTTTCTGTAGGTAAAAATGATGTATAAAAACACAAATAAACGTAGAAACATCATTCCTTCCCTCTCCACCTCAAATTCATAAAAGGATTCCCCATAAATTAGTTAAAAGAAGCGACCTGAACTATTTATATGATGAGGAACTAAAAAAAGTCTAAAAATCAAATCCAAAAAAGTATATTCTTGAAACCCCGAACACAAAAAAAGAAACGTGCTTCATTTGCAAATAAAATAATAATAATAATAATAATAATAATAATAATAATAATAATTGGTCAACTGGGAGTATGAAATAAAATCAAAAGTAATTAAACAAAGAAAAAACACACTTCATAATTGGCCATATACGAAAAAAAACTTGAGACTCCATAATAAAAAAAAAAGAAAACCACTCTAATTGAATGAAACATAAAAAAAAAATTTAAAAAACCACACTTTGTAACAAAAACCCAATCAATCAATTCAATCCAAACATAACTAAAATCGTACAAAAATTCTAGGCTAACTAACCAAATAAGAAATCACATCATACTAGCTGACAACGGCTACGGTAGCTGTGACGAATGGATGCATAAAAATAATAGTAATAACACTATTCTTGAACGGGAAAAACAAAAAATAATAAAAGCCAAACCAATGAGCTGTGGAAATAAAATTATTTAAATTTTAATACCTGCAATGGCACCACCACAACGGTCGAAGCAAGATCAATGAGAAAATTTTTTTTTTCCTTTGTGTTTATATAGAGAAGTAAAAAGAATATTTTTTGAAGTTAAAATTTTATCCGATTAAGATGTAGTTGATTATCACTAATGAAAAGATTGAATATGCTAATAGGAAAGGAGTATATTTCACCACATATTCTCAATCGATGATTGATGAAGAATTTGTTTTTTTTTTTTTTTTAAATTTTGGAGAAGGAATTGATTAAGGAGTCGCTTGTCGTGGAGATGAGGATGAGGATTTGAGTTTTTTATGAACTCGTGATTTTTTTTTTGTTTGTTTTGACGAAAATAGGAGGTGGAAGTGAATTTAGACTGCATTTGCCTTTTAAATTTAGGAGATGTGGTAATAAAAATTTATTTTAAAAATATGATGTGGAAATACCACATGACAAATGATGGTGCTTTCTCTTAAGTGTGGTTTTTATTTCTAATATAGTAAGATATTACTATATATCTAGATTTTTATGTTTACAATTATTGACAAGAATATTGGTATCAGTCATAAGATTTAATTCCCTTGCTAATATAATGCCAAACTCTTGATTAGCAGATTCTGTAGTGTAGTAATTGGAAAACGAGAAAGTATGCGGTTATCCTGTATAATACTTATGATGTTTCTAAATTGTAAATTGCGACATATGATAAAAAAAAAAGTAAAATTAAAAAGGCTGTACATATGCACTAAAAACCATGAGAAAACAATATGAATAGAGTTTTGGTTTCAATCTTTGCATCCACATTCTATTGTGCTTTTGATAAGATCATCATTTTTAAAAATTACTTGACATTAGTTATGTCATGGTCATTTTGGGGAAAAAAATCATCATAAAGTTTCATGATCAGTGTAATTGTTACAATCATTTTTATACAAAAAGTGATAGTGGAAATATCGTAGGAGTATCAAATTGTCGATTAGTATTATGTGACATGTTATTCGATTGTATGGCATTTTATTGATGGTAGAAGGAAATGCAAAATTGATAACATATTAAAAATGAGGTTTTTTTTATTTTCGTTCTTGTTAAAAACAAATAAATTATTTCCCATGCTTGTAAATCACGATTTTTTAAAATTTTTTTTTATACATTCCTATATGATTACTATTATATAGGAAAAATATTGTGTTTTCATTTTGTAACAGATTCTGTAGTGTAGTAATTGGAAAACGAGAAAGTATGCGGTTATCCTGTATAATACTTATGATGTTTCTAAATTGTAAATTGCGACATATGATAAAAAAAAAAGTAAAATTAAAAAGGCTGTACATATGCACTAAAAACCATGAGAAAACAATATGAATAGAGTTTTGGTTTCAATCTTTGCATCCACATTCTATTGTGCTTTTGATAAGATCATCATTTTTAAAAATTACTTGACATTAGTTATGTCATGGTCATTTTGGGGAAAAAAATCATCATAAAGTTTCATGATCAGTGTAATTGTTACAATCATTTTTATACAAAAAGTGATAGTGGAAATATCGTAGGAGTATCAAATTGTCGATTAGTATTATGTGACATGTTATTCGATTGTATGGCATTTTATTGATGGTAGAAGGAAATGCAAAATTGATAACATATTAAAAATGAGGTTTTTTTTATTTTCGTTCTTGTTAAAAACAAATAAATTATTTCCCATGCTTGTAAATCACGATTTTTTAAAATTTTTTTTTATACATTCCTATATGATTACTATTATATAGGAAAAATATTGTGTTTTCATTTTGTAAGACAAGATTAAGATTAAAAAAGCCATCTTAAATATACGAACATTTTAAAAATTATTCCGTAGTATTTTTAGGGTTTTCATATGGGAGTTGGCTTTTATACTTCCCCACCCTTACTACCACAATCCCTTATTGTAATCTGAGAGAGAAAACGTCAGTAAACACCTGTGGGCATATCTGTTCGTCACAGTTCAACCATTCCCCTTCGTTCTCTAGGGTTTTGTTCAGGTGGTTAACATCGAGGTTGAGCAGAGAAGGGATTGATTGCAAATCTCGATACACAGTTCGGAAAGCTTAATCCATCAATAATGGGTAATCTCCTCACCGTGCTTTTTCGCTGTTCTTTTTTTTTTTTTTATAATTGTTTGTTGGATTTTTAAGTTCATCTGTCACTCGATAGCTATTTGATTAATTCTTCCGGGTTTGCAGATATCGAGGAGGATATCAAAGCGTTGCAGCTCGATTCCGGTATGAGTTTGTTTTATTTTATAATAATTCTCAATTTAGATTGTTTGCACTAAATTCATTTTCGATGAATCTGAGTTGCTATCCGATAGTGAAATCTGTGATTCTTTTTGTTTGAGTTTGGTTATTCATATCTCGACTTGATTATTGCAGAGGAAAACGTAGAAGAGACAAAGCCCAATGATGTCGAGAAGTCTGATGAAAAGGATGAAGGTAGTCAGCTTTACTGATTGATTATTCCTTCATTTTTTAAAATTTTCTTGTAAATCCGTGTTTAGTTGCATGAGTATTTTATGGCCCCATGATCCGTCTTACTGTGGAAACTTGGATTTTGATCTTGCTGTGGGTTTTAGTGGTTTATTTGATAAATACTCTTTGGATTACTGATTGTTATACTTGCAATTGTGTTGAGTATGAAATTTCCAATTCGGCAATGTCTTTAAAGTCAAGGACTCAAAAGAGTTTTTGTGATTTTAATTCTAGCTTTTTAACTGTATCTGAGAAATGTTTATCTGCATTTTCAGGATTCTTGTCTTTACTGTTAGTTATTACTGGCCAACCTGCCTTCTGCTTATAAATTTGAACTTTTGGTGGGGATTTAATAGAATGGATTTTCTTATTATTGTTTGATTAGAAAGAGAAAAGTGTTACTAGCCGTACCCCTTAGGATTTTTATCTGGTGGAGAAATTTCGAATGTGAAAGTAAAGATTCTATGGATCTTCTGCCAATTTTGTTTCAGAGGAAGGGAAATTTGTGATTTTGTAATCTTTTCCAAGATTGGATTTGTCTTTAGTTTAATGCAGGATAGACAGAAAGACCGTTTCTGTTCTTAGGTTATGTATTTTTAAGGGGAAATACTTTTTCGAAGTCTTCAGGCCGAGTAATTTCCTGTAATTCCTATTGATTGTTCTCCCCTTGCAGCCCCGAAGGATGTGGAAAATTCAAACTCTTCTGAAGTGATTGTTGAGCAGAAAAGTTCTCCAGAAGGTTTGTTACTTTGGATTTTACCCGCTTTTACTGGTCTGCTGTGTTTTGTATTTTCTCGATTTGCAGTTGCTTTATATGTTCAGGAACGCTACTTATCTTTACGCGAACCTTCTCTACGTCAATAATTTTTGTTTCAGTTGCCAGTTCAGCTGTTTGTTGTATTACTTGATTCGTACAGGATTTGGTACTGCAAGGTCTTTCCAATCTTTGTCATGTATATGTTCTGCTGTTGCACATTTTTAGGTTTTGAGTGATAGCAAATTCTTCTCCTGTTGACTTGAAGTCACTTATTTTGTTATTCTTTTTAATTCATGCTTTTTTGCTTATCTTTTCTGTAGTGTAGTTTGAATGTGCTTATATTTCTAGGGAGTATGAATATTAATAGCAGCATGGTTAGTGATGAATGTGTATACGTAGTCTTGGAGTGCCTGTGACGAAGAACTTCTAGGGTAGGTCTAAGCTATTGTGACAATCTTCTGCATAGATGATTGTATATGGTTTTGCAATACTATATATTATACTAAATCTTTCTCATATTTTCTTTCCGTTTCTTTCCTGCTTTCTCCAGTGAAAGAAAAAGAACCTGCACCTGAAGTTGTTGAAGAAGTGCAACAGAATAAGAAACGGCATTTGAATGTTGTGTTCATTGGCCATGTTGGTAAGCAGCTTTTCTTCATGTGTTATTCTTGTAAGAGAGATGATACTTATTACGCTGCAGATTTGATTACCTTGAAATGTGTACAATGAACTTGATCATTTTTATTTTTAGCCTAATATATTCTTTTTTTTTCCTTATGGTTGTAAAGTGGTTCTTGCTATGATCTTTTGTACTAATGTGGTCGTTATTCTAGTTAATTAATGTTTCACTTTTGTTGTTTCTCATATTGAAGGCATGCTCCCTTTTCTCAGTGTGTTATTGTTATGATTTTAAATCTCTTAGGTGATTCCAATAGGCTTGTTGTATTGCTTAAAAGATCATAGATTACAACATTATGTTTTGATTTGTAGATGCTGGCAAGTCAACTACTGGAGGGCAAATACTATTTTTAAGTGGTCAAGTTGATGATCGTACTATTCAGAAATATGAAAAAGAGGCTAAGGACAAAAGTAGGGAAAGCTGGTAAGTCTATTTTGAACTTTTAGTCATCTTTCTCTTTATTTACCTTGAGCTGTGCACATGATTGAATTATTTTTTAGTATAGGAGCTGTGCATGTGATTGAATGCTCCTAAAATAATGTCTAGGTGACATGTTAAAAGCTCTTTCTTTCTTAATCCGATATTTATGAAGTAGAGTTCTGTTCGTTTTGTCTATGACTTTTTGATGCATTGACTCACTAGGGTCTAAAAAACCAAGTAATTATTGATTGATTCTGCCTTTCATGCTGCCTTCTACTGAATGAAAATTCTGACTGGCGGATTACCTATGTTTTTGGACTATGTGCTGATTGACTTGTGGGAGAATTGGGGTCACTGTTATCTAACCATTTATGTGTTCAATATTTGATGACATGGTGTGGCAAATTGTGGATTGTAGCACTGTATAATTGACAGGTGTTACTTTTTTGCTTTGTTTTTGTTTAGTTTTTCTCAATGTTATTCCAAAATGAGATGCATTAAACTTAAAAGCTCTTAAATTCTGAATGAAGGTTGTAAAATTTTATGGACTCAATGTCAATTGACCAATCAAATAAACTGGGTTATGGTTTCATTGTTATCTTCGTTAGGGTCGACATTTGATGAGGTTCTTTGGAAAGTTACCCCCCTCGCATTAGAGTCATGCTTCCTGACATTTTATTTTATTTTATTGCAAGGTACATGGCATATATTATGGACACAAATGAAGAGGAGAGATTAAAGGTACACACATACTGCTGTTCTGTTTTGCATGTTTATACGTACATTTCCTTGTATGGTTAATATGGAATTAATTGCTGTTGCCTTTAATTTCCAGGGCAAAACTGTTGAAGTTGGGAGAGCCCATTTTGAAACAGAAACAACCAGATTTACAATTTTGGATGCTCCGGTAATTTGCTTTTCTCCTAAGCATTGTTATGAATTCCACTTGGGGTTGTCCTGATACTCCTGTTCTGGTGACTGAGCATTTTATGTTTTCCTTCTGTTTTTCCACATTTTATATTCTAGGTCTGATAAAGTAATATTTGATTTTCAGGGTCACAAAAGCTATGTCCCCAACATGATTAGTGGAGCATCCCAAGCTGATATAGGAGTACTGGTAATGTGTTTAGCATTATGAACTTATTTCAAGTTTTTGTGATTTCTGTTTATTTTTAAGCTCATTGCCTTACTAATTATTGCCTTGCTATTCTATGTGTTAACTAGGTTATATCTGCCCGGAAAGGTGAATTTGAAACTGGATACGAAAAAGGTGGACAGACACGTGAACATGTCCAGCTTGCAAAAACTCTTGGAGTCTCTAAGCTGCTTGTTGTTGTAAACAAAATGGATGATCCTACTGTTAACTGGTCCAAAGAAAGGTGTTTATTAATTGTGGTTTTGCACATAATTTGTTCCTTGTTTTGGATTTTTTCTAACTTATGATTACATGATTTTTCAGGTATGATGAGATCGAGTCAAAGATGTTACCTTTCCTGAAATCCTCGGGTTATAACATCAAGAAAGGTAAAAAGCAAGATCATTTGTTGATGGACATTTTTATATTTTGTAGGTCATAATTCTTCCCGATACCCAGCTTAGTAGAATTTCTGAAGGGATTCACTATGTACGATGGTGTGTTCTTGATTAGTAACAACTGTTTATGTCATGACATGATATTTTGGCTCAACTTGAACTTTTTATTTAGATTAATTAGAATTGGGTAGATTTCCTTAATTTACGATGATGGGATATGCCTATAATATGCTTGGGGGCATGTCTATATAATTGTTCATCGGATCCTCTTTTAATTGTTAATGAATATCTCGTCTGCTGATGTATTTTTCCGCTATTGGTTTTCATGTCTTCTTACTTTATTTGAGATGCAGATGTTCAGTTTCTTCCTATTTCTGGACTTGTTGGTTCAAATATGAAGACCAGAGTGGACAAAAGTGTTTGTCCATGGTGGAATGGTCAATGCCTTTTTGAAGCTCTTGATGCTATTGAAGTTCCCCTGCGTGATCCCAACGGTCCATTCAGGTAATATTGTGACCTTTAATCATCTAAACTTCTTATGCTTCTCTCTGCTTATTTCCTTCCTTTGCTGTCTGACCCTCGCAAAAGGAGTGTCAGATCAGAAGCTCTCCTTTTTGCTTCATAGTTGGTTCTCTCTTTTGATTTTAACCCTCCCATTCACTCTTTAACGTAAAGGAAAACTTTAATTCATTATGTTTGGGGGGTCTTGGTTTCTTTTGTTTTGTCTTTGACTCATAGTGGCTTAAACTGCATGATGATTCTGTCGTGTTTCATCTCTCCAAGTACAAAAACCACAGGCAATCCTTGTTCTAAGAAATTTTTAAAGTCATTGACCACACAGATAGGGGCAAGGGTCTAAGGTATCATTTTTTTTAGCATAAAACAAAAGATATTAAATTGAGCACCACATCACTCCTCCTATTTCCCACTAAGTGGGTTCAGATACGTGTGGTTTATGTTATTATAGTGTCCTTATCAAACTCATAAATATTTTTAAATCCAAGTGTAAGATATCTTTTTAAATAGTCTCTTTCCCACTTTTTTGAATCTCTTCTCTTCACCGTATCGTTTGAGTGAAGAATTCCCCCTTTTTCTTACTGTCTTGTCTTATGACGGTCTCACACTAACATTTCACGTTGTATTGACTTATACATAATCCTGTGTTAGTTGTGAAACTTCTTTTTTCTTCCTATTCTTCTTCCATTCATTGTTGTCTATTTTGGCCTTTACTTGTTTGTGCAGGATGCCTATTATCGACAAATTTAAGGACATGGGAACTGTTGTGATGGGCAAAGTTGAATCTGGAAGCATACGTGAAGGGGACAATATGTTGATTATGCCAAACAAGGTGCTTTAGCTTGCATGTTATTTTTGATCAACTTCATGGAAGATTTGCTCGGTCAAAGTACTTTGAAAGTGGAAAATGTACTCAAGCAGTTTATCTAATAAACAGGCTCAGGTGAAAGTTGTTGCGATATTCTGCGATGAAGATAAAGTAAGCCGTGCTGGACCTGGTGAAAACTTGCGAGTGCGTGTATCTGGGATTGAGGAAGAAGATATATTAGGAGGATTTGTTCTGAGTAGCTTAGGTATGTTCTCAATGCTATCATCATTTTCAAATAAGAGGTCTCTTAAGAGTGTGCTATTATAATCTTTGTTTAGTCATCAGTTGTTTAAATATGTGAAGGGAAGCTCAAAATCTTGCTCTTACATTATCATCTAAATCTATTTACATTTGAGGACGAGAAAGAACTATGATAGATTTCATACATTGGTATAAAGCATGCATTATGTTGTGCAAGAGTCGGAGTTTCCTTGCCACAACATGTATAGGAAGATGATGCTTACCTCGAACATTGTGTCAAATGTGAATGTCCATTGGTGTCAGGGCGTTGCTTTCTATTTTTCATTTTGTTATTGACCATGTGTTTTTCTTGCCAATTTTAAAAATTTGACGCAAGCTCCATTCTAGTTTCTATGTCCATGTTCCTTATTTTTTATTTTTCTATATTTATGGAATTTTTGTTGGTGCTATACTGTATGATGTTTATCATCTCTGGCCATGGAGAAAACTTCTGCAAAGATGTTAAAACATTCTGTTTGGCATGTTCTTGATTTCTGGAAGAGGGGGGGAGGGGGGCTGACTCGCAGATGTTTATATGCAGTCAGTTTGTATGGATGTTGGGAAATTAAAAGTTCCCCATATGTTGCTCCTTATCATTAAGTTGCTTCTGCATTCTTTGCTCCCTCTGTCCCAACAAAACGGACTACTAAAATGGAAGGAGGGAATACTTTTTTTGTGCCTTTCTTTTTGTCTGTGGCTGGTAGAAATTCTTAAAGTTCTAGTACTTTTATTAGATGGTCTTTTTTTTCTTATCCGTCCTGGGTCCAGATTGGATCCATAGTTGCCTTACTTTTATGACTGAATGGATCTTCTTATGGTCTTGGTATTTGAGTTTGGATTATGAATAATATTGTTGCGGTCTTCATTTTTCTCACATCTTGCTATCTGAAGTTCATGTTCTTTTTATTTGAGATGCTGCTCAGATTTGGACAGCTGCTAAGAGCTTGCCTTTTGCATTCCTTGTTTTAACCTACTCTTGTTTTTGCAGCCAAACCAATACCTGCAGTGTCAGAGTTTGAAGCCCAGCTGCAGATTTTGGAGTTGCTGGATAACGTATGAGTTTGACTATCCTTTTTTCCCGCCCCAGCTTTCTGCACTTTTCATTTTCTGCTGTTTCGCGACCTCTATATTCTTGCTGGTCATACATCATAGATTGAGTGCCCATAATTTTCTCTTTCTACTTCAGGCTATATTTACAGCTGGTTACAAGGCTGTATTGCACATTCATGCTGTTGTGGAGGAATGTGAAATTGTTGAGCTCAAGCAGCAGATTGATCCAAAGACCAGGAAACCCATGAAAAAGAAACCACTTTTCGTAAAGAATAATGCCATTGTGGTTTGTCGTGTTCAGGTAAAACTCTGCATGATCTTATTTGATCATTATGTGGATTCCTTGTATGTCTCTAAAGTAAGCATCTTAAAGAACATTAGTTTTAATGTTTTTTTTTTTGTTCTTTTTCTTCCCAATCCATCAAGTTCTGAAAGACCATTGAGATTCATGAACATGTGTGTATATATTGATTGATAATATCAAATTAAGAACAAGGAAATAGCAGGAGATTTGTAGGATGGAAGAAGAGCATGACATAAGCTTGACTTTTGGGGCTTTAAGTTAAGGAAATTGTGGGGGTGACAGTATTATTGCTGGGAGTTTTCTTTCTCTGTTTCTGCATCTTCAGCCTGCTGGTTTACTATATATTTTTAAGAGGGGGGGGGGAGGGTGTTTGATGTGCTTATAAAAATTTCGAGCACTACAAGATTCAGAGTTCTCTGTTTTGTCTGATTAAGGTATTCAGGATGGTTTCCTTGTGATCTTTGGAAAGTAAAGGTGCTTTTGTTTATTTTATTAAGTAAAGTTTGCTGCCAACGTGTGATTTTCAGGTAAATAATATGATATGTGTTGAGCAGTTCAAAGATTTTCCTCAACTTGGACGGTTTACTCTTCGAACAGAAGGTGAGATAACATTTCGCTTGCCCAAGTGTGAACAGAATTTGTTCTTCTTGATTTTCCTTTTCCTTTCGTTTAGTGTTGATGAGTTGCTGCCAATGTACTGCAGGCAAAACTGTTGCTGTTGGAAAAGTTACTGCTCTTCCAACTGTAGGTGATAATTAAACAATTTTGTCACAAGGTAGAAATTCTTTACTTCAGAAACAAATTTGGCCTTTGCTTGTGTATTGATGTCTAATTTATTGTCTTAGTTGGTTCAGTATCTCATTATGCGAGTGTACATGTTCCTGCTGATGCATCCTTTAAAAATTACATTATTCTTTATTGTGTTTTCGTCACAGGCTCAGATTAGAGTGTAAAATTTGAACATACTGAGGCGGCGGCGGCAAGGAAGAGGCTTTTACCTGTACGACAATACTTGCGAATGTGGAAGGTCCACAGACTCGCAGATGGTTTCTGGGATTTGATAATGTAGTTAGTTAAATGTGTATTTTGGGGAGCTGTTGATACATATGGAGATAAGTTTATTGAAACTGTGAAGTACCCCCTTTGGGGTCTGTGGCTTGTGATCAAGCACAAGTAGCTTCTGACACCCCTTCTAAAGTAGTAGTCAACATTTGATTATTGTTATGATTGGTTTTTGGGAGCTACAATTTTCTTTAGTAATTTACATTTGATATGAGTGATGACTTTCGCAGATAATATTTTTCCATTTTTCTCAAGGTTACATAGCAAATGTGTTCTTCTTCTTCTTCTTCTTCATAGACTGTCACGAAGTAAGGTGTAAATCTTAATATCTGAGCACCACCAAAAAAAAAATAAAATAACATAAATCATAATAATAAAAATCGTGACTTCAAAAGAGCAGAGGTCTAACTTGAGGAAGGTACTATTATTATTTGTCACAACTCAAAGCGTGAAGGTGGTAAATGAAATCCTGATATTCTAAAAAGGAAACGAAAAACATGCGCTAAAAACGTCAGGTTTTTAATCATTTTTAAGTTCAATTTTGGGAGGAACAGAATTATACGTGCTCAGGATGTTAGCTCCATCATCATCATCATCATCATCCGCATTGAAATGGGTGGTGCAAACTCCATTTCATGGTTTCCCACACTGCCCCAATTGTCCCTCGCAACAATCACCAATTAGTAGCATTAAGTTTCCAGATAAAACCCGCCGTACAACCCCCAGATTCTCAATTTTGCAGACCAAAGCCTCCATTGATGAGAAGCTCCCTGTTCTTGATCCTGATGTACAAGAACAGCCCACCTCACGACAAGTACTGCCCAAACCCAACTCTCAATTTTTGCATATTTGTTCTTGAACGGTACCGTATCTGTTGAATTTCAATGTCGAATTCTTTTAGTTTTTGTGTTTTGTTCTATGTTATCTGCTTTTCAGAAGATTAGTATCATTATCACCAGTTATTTTGGCCTTTGGATTTGAGAATTTTCAAAATTCTGTTTGATTAGGAAGTTGAAGAGAGTGTTCGGGTGCTGAAAAATGCGGCCAAGACGAGGAAAGTTCCGGCCAAGGATATACTCTCGGCTTTCGCCGTGATTGAGAAGGCGAAAATCGATCCTTCAGGATTTCTTGAAACTCTTGGTGGAACAGAGTCACCTGGTAGAACATGGATGCTGATATTTACTGCACAGGTTATATGTTTTTATCACTTCTGCTACCTCTTGGGGATAATCATCCAATTGATTTTCATTCTGATCTTAATTAGGAATTGTGATATTTGCAGAAAAAGCTGGAAAGCGGTAAATACTTCCCAATCACTGCTGTTCAGCGGTTTGATGCAGCTGTAAGTTTCCTTGAAATGGCCTTTGTTGTTTATATCAATTGATCTTTATGACAAATCACTTTGGGGATTCTGGAGTAGTGGAGTTTGCTCACTAAGTTAAATGAAATAGTAACTTAGAACTCGGGTACAAAGTGCGTTCTGTTTGATGAATTTAGGGAGTGATTGATCTGCACCAAGAACATTTTGTTGGGAATGTGGAAAATGCAACTTCTTTTCTTGTTGTTGACCTTCAATTTTGTTCGGCACAAGTGCATTTCGCTCTTACACTTGCTTGAATGATTATGAATGACACCATCTATTCATGTCGATTTTTCCAGTGCGATTAACATTTTCTTTCAGAATGAGTGATGTGGTGTGGTCTTTGATTGATGTATACAGTTCACATCTGGTTTATGGAGAAGGATCACTCGATTATTTGTGTTTTATGGTCTGGAATTCGTTGAAGCCATGCCTTTCTTCAATGGATATGGAGGATGAAGAAAACTTAGATTCGGTTATTATACCTTTTGGAGATTAACATATTATCACTTGTGTTTTCAGGGGAGGAGGATTGAGAATGGAGTATTTTTGGGACCTCTTGGATTCTTGACATTTGAAGGCAGATTCTCTTGGAAGAAGAGAATACTGGCCTTCATATTTGAGCGCATTCGAATAAAAATAGGGCCTTTGAGCCCTTTTGAATTCAGCTTTAAAGGAGAAGATAACAGAGAACCAAGCAACAAGGATCCATTTTTCATTTGGTTTTACATTGATGAGGAAATAGCAGTTGCTAGAGGTAGAAGTGGCGGCACTGCTTTCTGGGTTCGCTGTCAGCGTGTTGGCAGTTCTTGAATCTATTTTCGCATTCCTAGTGTGTATATTCTGCTGAAAGAGAATTACAGTGACTGTCGTGATTTGGCTGCTACTGTAGTATTGCTCAAAACCACAGTTGACTATATATATTGGTAGCTTGAAGAGAGTTAATCGCAGACCATTTGTGTTTTCTCTGATAGCAAAGACCTTAAATAAGTTCTCGACAAGCAAGCCTGTCGTGTTCTAAAGGATTTCCTGGTTCTCAAACATAAGAGGATGTCGAAGTTGAATGAATTCTTCATGTTCAATTTGTGAAAGGAAATGTGGTACGATTCATGCACAAATTGTGTTTTACAGGAGTGGTTCAGAAGGATGATCTTATGACGATATATTGTTTTATTTATCAATCGTTCATAAACCACAATCTTCATCCTTTTGATTTCATTCGATGTCCTATTAGTTTCTTAGCTTTTAGTTGATAAAATTGTGCAGATTAAAGGTCCTGCATTGTTTAAGAGCAGAATTAGAATATGCTAAAATTATTACTCCTTTCGACTTTTGAAGTTAATTAATGCATATCAGACCATGAGATGAACTCAGACGTGACTAACTGTCAACTTAATGCAAACCTCCTCTTCAATTCGAGTTTGGAATGACAGCAGTTGGTTCAGACAAAGGGGATTGCAGACATAGTCCCCTCCTGTAATGAGAAATGCAATGTCTGCTACTGATTTAATATTCTTCTTTCTATTTTGTTTGCACAATTAAGGACCTTCGCTTGATGTGTTATTGATTGGTTTTCCATTTTTGTACGTATATATTTATTTACGCACAAAAAACATTCTTTTTCTTTGATATTCTTTTCCCTCAAGAAGTTGGTTGGGATGTATGCATACTGAAAAAATTTCTTTTCTTTTTTGAAATTTATATTAGAATATTTCTCACCGAAAATAATTTGAACCTTAACTGAAATTTGTTTTCTCACTAGAATATTTCTCATTAAAATGATTTTAAAAATATTCAGATGCAAATTAAGTCAGCTACTCGAAATTTCACTAAAAACTTTATGTAGTCAACCAATCAGATCTTCGGAAAAAGAAAATGCACTTTATTTTCTTGAAGAAAATTTAGGAAATCAAGAAATAAATTACGAAAACGTGGAAATGACTGGATCTCTCGTTCCAAAATAAGGCACAATTTTGTGAAATGCATGTTACTTTGGGAATTCCTAAGCACATATTCCCTCCATTTCAAAATGTAAGCCATTTAAATTTTATACGTAAATTAAGGAGACAATCATTCAATAATTAGTTTATGTGTTAAATATATGTTTTACCCCTCATTAATTATATTAGAACTATAAAAAAGACTAAATAGAAATAAATTGGCCTTATTTATTGAGGGTAAACTTGGAAAAATAGTCTTTAATTTGACTTGAAAAACTAAAACGGCTTATATTTTGAAATTTTTTTTCAAATTTAAAACGATTTACATTTTGAAATGGAGGTAATATCTCTCTAACTCTAACTAATAATATAACTAATAATATAAGAGGAGAGTTATTCTTGCTTGATCGAAAATCTTTATGAAAAAAAATAGGAGCAGAACAAACTTTCAATGTGTTACAATCCAAGAAACCTCGGCCTTATGTTCATTTTTCCCTTGTAAAGTAAAATATATCGGATTTGGAGTTTGCCTGATCTATAATTTTTTTCTCTCATTATTGGGATTTGGGAATTATTTGAAAATACTCAAGATAATAGAATTACAGCAACTCAATCCACTGAAAGAACATTCCACCTCAAATTTTATGCTGCCTTTTTTCCATTCACCCAAATGTAATTCAATTGTATTCTTCAGCATCTCTCTGAAGCCCTAATTTTCATCAAAGTGGCCATGGTCATAATAAAAATAGAATTTGAAATCACCTCTTTTTTTTTTTTTTTCTCCCCTTGGGTTTTATCGATCTTTCTAGTGTGCTCTTATTCTCCCACAAAGTTGGCTATTGCGGTTTATTGAATTTGGATTCCTTTGGACTTTTAATGAGGTTATAAAAGTATAAGTATCACTAGTGGTGAATAAAGACGGTGATAGAATCATGATTGGTCATAGATTGTGGAAAAGAGAGATGTCAGGTATATAATAGGATGATACTTGTGGGCATGGGAAATCAATTGCAAGGACATTGGTTATCATCAATGGAGCAGGAAGAAGAAAGAGGGGAGCAGGGGAGGACCGGCGGGGAGAAGAGAGGACTAGAAGAGAGGCGTAAAATAAGCAGTTGACTCGTTAAGGGTAGTACATGTCTTTTTTGCTCTAGAGACTAATAAGTACTCTGACAGTATCATTAGCTTTTATGAAACAAAACACAAAATTGTTTTGGATGCTAATAATTGTTTTGGCAATATCATTAATCAAACAAATATTGTGACACAAAATAATAAAATAAAAAATTATTAGTCACTCAATAAATATCTATCAAGCAATTTCATAGATTATTTTCAGTATCTTTATGACTACTTAAAATGTAGTCGCTTTATTATTGAAGTTTTGGAGTTGGGTTAGAGACTTAAGATTTTGGATTGATTTTTTAAAGCAGACAATGATAAAAATTGAACAATTATTGAATTTCATGTATTTATATTTTACCAAACATCTATGAAACAAGTAATACCATAAAAAAAAAGCAATAAAGAGTTGATCGGAATAATTCATCCGCGTAAATTACCAAGGCAATGTCCTTCTTATAAGCCTTTTGGCTTTATTCACAAAATCAACGAGGTTACCACTTGTTAACTGTTCATATGTTATTGAGAGCTACTGTTCTGAACGGAAACATCACAATTTTGAGGGGTTTGGAATTTTGGACACGGTAGACAGGTGGTCACCCTATAAAGTTGTGCTAGATTAATTGTGTATATCTATCAAAAATAAAATAAAATTATAAGTCTATATACATTACTCCCTCCGTCCCATAATTATTATCCATTTTGCCTAAAAAATTTTGTCCCAAAATTATTGTCCAATTTGACTTTTTATGGATCAAGTTACACATTTGTCCTTAGTAAAAAACATTATCCATAAAATCTTAGTGGTTAAACAATTACTTATGTAGGGGTATATCCAGTTGTTTAAGGTAAAATATAGTTAAGTTTGACCAAAAATAAAATCTTTTATTTTAGTAAAACTAGACAATAATTATGGGACGGAGGGAGTATAATTTTAATACAATCACATTCAATTCTAGCAAGTTGGATAGAGACAATATCTATTCAATTTTCTTTGTCGACGAAGGCACTACGTCAACTGCTTAATTTGAGCCTTCTTTGTCGTGTACTCTCTCCAGTCGTTAATTTGACCTTTTTCTTTTTCAATTAAAAGAATGTACTACATTAAATTTAGAACAAATTAAAATACCTTAAAATAAAAATATAAGATAGTAATATATACTTATTGCCAAAGTGTTACTTTTTAGTTGTTAGGTTAACTCTCCATTAATAATAGTTTCTCCTTTAATGATTATATTGTAGGACTAGTAAAAAGTACTCACTCCGTTCTTAAATATATGTCGTTTTAAGGTTTTATAATTTTTTTTAGAATATGTCATTTTATAAAATTGAGAAATTCTAAATCCTGCTCTGTCATCCTTATATGTTGCTTCATCAATATTCTAGTTTCAACAAATTTTGTCGTTGAGGCTTCTATGTTAAGTTAAATTCGATGCATTTTTCTTCATTGGTCTTTTTATATTTCTGCTTATTTTGATGATTGGAAATTAAAGACAATATGAAACAATGTGATGTGTTGTAACACGTCCTTTTCAAAATAATAATTGTAGTTAGACAAGAGAATGCTGAAGTTGGATGAATTCTTCGTATATAGATCATATCCTTAGTTTTATTTTTCAATACTTCATAAAGCAATATCTTCATCCTTTTCATTTTATCCATTTTTTTTTAAGTTAGAGACTTCATTTCCAAACTCAATCTTTTTTTACATTTGAAAAAATTACATACCCACCTCAGATCCGTAGAACAATAATTTTGAGCTATATGTACAATTATTTAGAATTTCTGTAGTACAATAATTTTCATAAAAAAATTTCAATCAAGCACGTCAATTATACTCTATCTGTTCCATAATTATTGTCCAGTTTGGATTTTTCATTTTTAGTTCAAATTGTACTAAAAGTGAAATCTTAAACTGGATAATAATTTTAAGACAGAGGGGGTATTATATATAACATTTGGCATATGTAATATATATCATCATATTGCTTTTTTTTTTTTTTTTGACTCCCATCATCATATTGCGATCAGTAGTAGTATCTCAACGAATCCATGTTAATGATCACATGATAATTCCCAAAATATAAAACAAACCCTTTACATTACATCATTTTTCAACCCAAAAAGTTTCCTCTCCCCCGTCTCGCTTCTTCTGTTTTTGGTTTTCTCGATTCCTCTTCAAGGAGTTTGGGCCTTTGGGAAATGAAGATTGAAATCGGTAACTTTAGAACCCCGGCTGTTCGTATTTAACCCACTTTTTATAGATTATTATGTGAGAAAGTTTTTTTTTTTTTTTTTGGGAAAGATAATTATCTGTTTCTTTCTTGTTTCCAACTACAGTAAGTATTATTTTTCAAACTTCTGATTTATGGATTTGGTGGATTAATCAAATCCACGATGTCGTGAAGAAGTGATAAAGGGGCTTGACTTGATCAATAACAGGTGTTTAATAAGCTTTTTCAGAACGAAAATAAAAACTAGGCATTTATAGACATTTCACTTATCGATAAATTTATCATACAAGTAACAAACATAAGGTTTACTGATTTCGACGTATTTATATTGTAGTAAACATTTATGGGGGGTTACACATAAAATCAAACAAAATTGATTGAATAAAAGGAATTGATGCGTATAATCATCTATTACGTAAATTAACAAATGGAAAGTCTTTTTTTTTTAATTATTATTTTTTGTTTGGCTATATTAAATCGACAAGTCAAAAGTCAATTGTGTGCATACTCCATAATTCAGAATTGTTCTCAACGAAAACATGACAGTTGAGGGGAGCGGAACCACGATGAACTCAAAAAAACACGGTGGAAGTGGGCTTCGCATTTATAGATTGGGGTAAGGTAGTAGATAAAATAAACATATCTACCAATTAAAACACAGAAGAGAGAGTCTATACATTGTACTCCCTCCATTCACAAATAAATGTCGCTGGAGAGATTTCACAAAGTTTAAGGAGGCAATAATTATCTTGTTAAAATACTATAATACCCTTATTTATTCTTAATTCAATTGTAGTCCCAATAAAATTCACTTCTAATACAATTCTACATTAAACATCACAACAATTTCCAATGTAAGGGTGATATTGGAAAAAATTGACAAAATATGCCTCGATTTGTGAGAACGACATCTATTTTGGAATATTTGAGTTTTCCTCCAACGACATCTATTTGTGAATAGAAGGAGTATTTAATTTATAATCACATTGAATTCCTTGCAAGTTGGATAGAGACATGATTCCATCTTCTTGGTCGTCGAAGGCGCCATGTCTAGTAATCCAACATAATTTGAGCCCACTTTTTGTGTACAAATGCTGGTCATTCTCTTGTGTGGTTTTGAATCCTTTTCTAGCCAAATTTGTTATGCATGGACATTTCCTCTTTGTTATTATCACAAGAGATATCCTTAGTTTTTGCTCGTTCAAATCCTCGTTGGTGCACTAGAGTCTGAATCTATATGTTCTTCATCTGCTTTTTTGGATGGCCATATGTAAGACCTAGTGAAGTGGTCTTATCTTTTAATTAAGAGGTAGGATTACCTGTGGGTTTCTTCTCCCCCCCTCGTTTGTTTGCTTTTTTCCTCCAAATAAGTGAACTGTGAGATGATCCTCTACGGATTAATACCACATTTTGACTAATTAGAGAGGATTGTGACAAATTTTTTTAAAATCTTTCTTCTTTTTATTTTGTTTAATTTGTTTGAGTTAATGCAAGTTTTACCTTGTTGGAACAACATCCAGAGACATCGATACTCAGTTATGGACATAAAGCAGTCTTTTAACACATGAAACCAACTAGTTCATTAACTCGTATGGCTTTTGTTGGATGATTCACACTCTTTCCGGTCCCAAAATGACTGAGGTAGCTTGGAAATCACGGTAGAGAGAGCCCTTCTTGGACGGACGTACATACATACCTCTCTCAATCACCGAAAGGATTACATGAGAGCTTGGAATACGCTTTGGGACCCTATATAAATTAACCTCCGGTCGACGAAGGCCATGCATCTTGGGAGCCTCATATATAGGAGTATTCCAACGGTGATTTCTTCCCCCCTGAACTAATATATTACTTCATCATCAGATAATTACTTGAGTGCCTGTAAGTACTCTGAATTTCTTGACTCTTTGTTTTCTCACACATGGAGGAGAGAGAACTCCTAGCAAATAAAAATTAATACTCCGTCGGCCCCAAAAAATTAACCCATGTTGAATTTTGAGATTTATACTGAAAGAAAGTACAACTCTCAAGACTCAATTTTTGGGTCAGAATGAGTAATTTGATTTTTTATTTTTGCAATAGCTAAGATAAAATGAATAGATTTGTCACTTCCAAAATGGAGTTTAAGAGTCTGTCATTGCCAAATCTTTTAGCTTTTGGTTAATAATGAAACTGATGGAAATATCTGACATAAATTATGGAATCATACTTGTAGAATTTAGTGAAATTGGATGCTATAAATTAATGCACAAATAGGTTAAATCTTATACTTAAAAAAAATTATCTGTATTGAAAAATATCAGGGTTAAAACTATATATGTACATCTTTGATTCTACAAAACTCAAGAAGTTGGAATTAATACTGCTTGGTAAGAATTTTTACAATTTTTATGGAGCATATGGGGGAAGGGAGGGAGATTTTTTCGATCCTCCTCCCCCTTGACCTGGAATTGGATATCATATTCTCAGGCCAGCTAATTTAGACCAACTTGTTTAAAGATAGTTACGTTTGCCGCGTCATTCTTTTCCCCAGTTAAATTTTTTTCATCAATTAAAAAATCAAGGACCGAAATCAAAATACTTATATTAACTATCTACTTAAAATATCTTATATTAAGGACCGGAGGGAATATCTACTTACTTTTAATAAAAAAATACTTTTCGGCCGTACCTTTTTTTTTTTTTTTTGTTTCTCCATCTCCACAGCACTTTAGCGAAATTTTCCTCAAATATTTAACCTATGTAATATAATAACAATTTGAAAAATAGATAGGTGATATTATAAGTACGTACATGTGTACATATATTAATGAGAAAAAATTGCTAGTACTTTTGTATTTTAAACTAAATCGAAAAGTTTAATATAAGCTAGTATCCTAAAACAGTTAGAATTGAGGATTGTATTTGAAACTCACCAATTCCAAAATTTGTAATAAGTCTATTAATGTGGCAGTTCAAAAGTGAAATTATATCTTGAGCAAGTAAATAACTCATCATGATAGCAAAACTTTAAGTTGTAAAAATGATAAAACTTGTCTTTAACTTTGATATTATTTACTTACTATTTTATAGAAGTAAATTTTTAGGTCATGACTGGTCAACAACACCTAATTTTTAATCAATGAAATGATTCATATAAATGTTTAAGGATTTGAGATAACTTAATATAACATATGTAATAATTATATGACTAACGTTCTATTGGGTAACGAAAATTGTACTGCCTAAGAAGTTTACCATAAGCACGGTGATATCTTTTATTTCTTCAATGATAAACAACAGAAAGCAACTTACATGTTAAGAAAAATAAAACCTATTTTGTTTTTTAAAAAACACAAGAAAATCATGTCGATTCTCTAATTTTCCAATATAAAATTTGAAATCCATAAATGTAGTAGTGTTTCAAAGTTTGCATTTGAACAAAAGAACAGTACGAGGGTTTATCATTCTCAAAGATAAATTACTTTTAACTTGTGTTTGTTCGCGGCGGATTTGGCATGTGTAGGTTGATAATACTGGAACTTTGCATAAAAATGAAGAGAATGTCACGTTTTTTTTTATTATATTTATCACTTTCTTTCATAACTTATGATTTTCTTTTTGTCTAATAAATGGTCAAATATTTCATATAATTCAGAAAGAAGAAAAACACCCAAAATGATGGGCTTACTAAGTTACTATTCATATTCCTGATCACACTGCCACTAAAAGGGTTTCAGAATGAAGGGTGAGAATTTTTTATTAGGAGGAGGGGCGGAGGCACATATAAGGGAAGTGAGACAATTGCCTCAGCTGGAATTTTTTTTTTTTTAGTTATTAATTTCTTGAAGTTTTAGAATTTTCTTTAAAAAACTGATTTTTACTCCACCTGAATTGAAAATATTTGAGACAAATATATTAAATTAGAAATTTGATAAATTTTGCACCATCACATATATAGGGGGCTTGATTCCGCCCCTTCAGACATAAAGAACTCAAAGAAAGGAAACGAGTAAAAGAGATAGAGAGATTAATAGAGGAATATACATGCATATAAACAGATTGTAAAATTCCATCTTGAATTCACTTGGTCGTACGTCCAAGATATCATTTCTCATACAATCCATGATAATCATTTCTCATACAATCCATGATGTAGGAATCTGCTCGTAGAAAACTTGAAAAATGACAGAAATCTCAACAGAAGAAATGGAAAATAAATACAGAAATCACTGTTACATATTTTTATGTTCAGGTATAAGCTCAGATCATAGTCAAATTAACCCAAAAAAAATTCCTGCATCTTGCCTGAGCTCAGTGAACTCACCCGGCATTTATCTGGTTATATATGGCTCCTCTGAGCATCTATAGACGAGCAGACGATGAGCAACACCCATTGCAACATAATAATTGGATGTTACAGTCATTTCCCTGATCATCAGGCCCAGACAAACAAGGGCATTTTACCCGAAACTTCACCACAATCACTCCTCCGAGAATTATTATTATTATTATAGGGACAATAATAATTACTACCAAAGATCCCTTCCCTAGGCCTCCTGATTTCTTTTCAGTAGTTGAAGCTGGTGAGATCAAAACAAGAACATATCACGGTCAGAGGGAAAGGGGGGAAAAAAAACAAAAGAAGAAGAAACACACATCACACACACCCCAAAACCACACCGTATGACATATTGATTAACTAATGAGTCGATTTTTCAATCTTAGTAACACTCTTGTTTATGAGACTCACTTTCAATCCAATAAAATGCAAGGAAGGTTACATTTTGCCATATATTCTAATTTTAATCTGTCCATTTGGTAACCTTGTTTAATCTTCTTTCTTTTACTCTCTCTGATACCATAAAAGTATATGAACGGTGAGTCTTGTATTAGGTTTAGTACATAAATATAAGGAACAAACATAGACATAAGTTTATAATAATAGTAATCCTATCTAACCCTAATACATATACACTAACACTCTCTCCCATCCTTACCTTCCCAACTTCAAATCCTAATCCTAATATGATGTGGGAAGGGGAGGAGTGTTACCACTTTTTTTCTTTAAGAAAAAAGTTGCCACAGTTCTCCACCACAAAATTTGATGATTGAAGCTCAAACTTATGTTTAACTTTCAAAATTCTAATATGTAAAACAACAAAAAAACGGTAATGATCCATAGCAAAATACAGTTTGTGAATACAAAGGTGAATATATGATGGTGGCTACAAATAATTAGGGTTTTTTCTTTAATTGTTTTACTTTCAAGATAGGTTTACTTTTGGATTTTTATTATTATTAGAGTTTTATTTCTTGTCTTTAAATATTTAGTTTCAACGTTTATAGCCGTAAGTTGATTATTGAATTTTATAAAAGAGACTGATTTCTCAAAATCTAGTTTTTCTTGGTCTATTATTGTTGGTGGGATTGATTAGTTCTAGTCATGATTTGTTCCATTACGATTAGTGATTCGTGATTAGGTTCCGAATTCAGTTGTTCCATAATCATTGGTGATTGTTTTAAGGTTGGTCCGATTGATATAGGCTTCCGCTACTACATCAATATATCGATATAACCTGGCCAATAATAATCAAAGTTCAACCCAATGAACAGTAGCCTTGATCCAGCCGTCTAGATCTAAGCCTTAAAAAACTTCAAATCTGACAACTCCGACCTATGAACTGAACACCTTAGTTTAGGGCTTGAGACCACAAATTAGAAACACACCAAGCAGGCGTGTTGAAATCACTCAAACATTGAAGATATCCAATAACTAAGCCTATGAACTCGAGTTAGTTGTTTTCAGGGGTTTTATGTATATATATTTTTCTTGCCAAATTTGTTTCCTTTTCCAAAACAACAAATAATAATTATATCAATTCAAGGGCAGAAAATAAATTTTTATGTAAGAAAACAAAATCGGTCACTCACCACCACATCCTGCAGCAATAGGAGTAGGATTGATGTTGGAGTTGCATAAGCAAGTCTCCACCAGAGTCTGCTGGTTAAACCCACAAACCCCGCCGGAGCTCTCACACTGAGCACAATTCCTCGTCTCCTCCGGTGGCACTTGGTATTCCACTTTGAGCCCCAAAAACGACAAATCTCCTGTCACACCTGAATAATCCTTGCTAGGATGATAAACAGGGACGTAATGCGTACACCCAAACGCAGCGATGCTACTTCTAAGATGTTTGGATTCGGCAAACAAGCACGGGGGTTTGAATCGCTTGAAGATAACGAAAAGGCGGTACATCTGGTCGCAAGTGCGGCCATTATACTGGTGGTTGCTGCTGTTAAAGGTGCAGTTCAAGAGGGCAAAAACGTTGTGGGAAGAAGGCCTAATGTTGGGGAAATCGGAAAAAATGGCGTCGGGAGATTGACTGGTGCTGATAGGGCAGCTAGTTGACCAGTCAACCAACATGGTTTCCGAGGTGTTATCAATCCACAGGACCCTCCTGTTTTGGCTTGGGGGGTTCACCAAGATCAAGAGATCTTCTTCTCCGGCGGTGACTTCTGATTTCATACAGGCAAGCAGGTTGAAGAACGCAGGGGAGCCGCATCCTGGGTCAATCCCAAATGGATATGGAATATGAACATTATTCCCGCAAGAGCTCCGGCAAGAAGAAGACGGCATCGCTGGCCGGACGAGGAATCCGGGTTGCAGCACCACCAGTACTACTAACCATATCCTCACAACCATGGAATTTGACATTCTGCAAGATTTCACAACACAATCTAAGATTGCAAAACCCTTGAGTTTTTCTTCTTTTTTTTTTTTTTTTTTGGTATATAAAGATCAGTCTAGCTTCAGTCCCACTCTTCTTTTTAAAGTAGGTAAAGAGTCAAAAAAGTCAATTTTTTCCAAAGCTCAAAAAGTGAATTATTAGGCCACCAGAAATCAAAACCGAATCCATGTGCAAGCTTTTCTTGTCTTTTGTGATCAAAATTTTGGCGCCAAAAAACGTGCTTGGTTTTAAAGCCTCCACGTTGGAAGTAATTCGTGAAATTCACACGGACGAATTACGTCATTCATTTGATGCCCCTCATTAAGAATCGTCTTTTTGCCGATCAAATGGGTGCAAGCAACATGAGAAAACTTGGAAATTATCTACAACCTTCTTGGCAATTTTTCATTCTATGTAACCTTTAAGGGAAAAGAGATTTCAAAATATCATGAAAGATTTCCAAGAAATTTGTATATGGTTTTCCATATTAACTAATTCGGGTTTTCCTTCTTAAGAAAGAAAGAGAAAAGGATTCAATCGTTCTGTAACTTTTACGCAAACTTAAATGCATAATACGACTTAATATACCCAAAATGATTACTCCATCGATTTCAAAATGCTAGTTGTTTTAATTCTTACATAAGAATTGATGGAGTTAGACTTATAGACGATAGTGTTGTGGAATTCCATGTTCTAATAACAGAAACTAAAAATATAAAATTAAACATACCTCTTTCGTCCTCCTCCAAAAAAAAAAAAAATAGTGCACATTGAATTTTTGAAATTTATATTATTTTTATTTAGTACAAATCTTAAAACTCAATTTAGAATATTATTTTGGGACGGAGAGAGTAAAATATTAGAAAGCGTGAAAGAAACAATAGGTAATTTGTGTTAGTATAGTTAGCATCAAAACCGCCAATGATTATTGAAATGGTTTTAGATGTATCATTAAGAAACACGATGAGGTGATGATTAAAATTTTTGTTAATAATATATTTTTTGTTGAGCTTATTTGAAGATATAATGAAAAAGGAGTGCATTTCTTAAATTGTTTTTATTATTTTTTTTCCGATTAAACGAGAAGCTCAAAATCTATGGTGTCTCTTGGCTATCATAAGGTGGACATTCTTGCTTCGAATCTGAAGCCTATTAATATTTATCGTAATTTAAAAAAAGTATTTATCGTAATTTACTTTGGGAGAATTGTTGTCAACAAATTAAGGATATTTGACCATTTATTTGCAGCAGAGAATTTCTGTTGCTTTTAAATAAATAAATAAATAAATATATATATATATATATCCAGCTTTTATATCAACCCTCATCAATTAAATGGGCATAAATATAGGGGATGCGACCATCTAATGTCACGCATCCATCATACATACTCGTCACAATTTAATGTTCATCCAATATATATTACTGTGTTCAGACAATAGAATTTGTACATAATAATAGTATCATAACTATATCTGATAATTATATGAAATTATATTATCCATCCCATTGAATGAAGAAATTGATTTCTTTGGATCCCATGAGAGCACTTGAATCATCATGATTTTAGCACTTGACATCAACGTTGGTCACACTATTAATTCTCTAGGGAGACCTAATTACTCTTACTTTTGGGAAGTCATTGCGGATAAACATTCTCAATTGTCTTTTCTTGTAGAAGAGAAAAAAAACAATATTGTACGGTGTAATAATGTTGTGAAAATAGAGTAAGCCGTGGCGGAGCTGGTGAAACCTTGCGAGTGCGTGTATCTGGGATCGAGGAAGAAGATATGTTACCTAGGAGGATTTGTTCTAAGTAGCTTAGGAATGCTATTATCATTTTAATGAAGAGGTCTCTTAAGAGTACGTGTGCCGCTATAATCTTTTTTTTTTAGTCATCTGTTGTTTAAATATGTGAAGGGAAGCTCAAAAACTTGTTCTTACATTATCTATTTGTTAGAAGTTAATATACATATTCAAACATTTGCTCCGCAACAAAAGGACCATCTGTACATACATTTCTGTAGTTAAATCTTTATTTTGTTTGAGACAATTGTAGCACCATTGATGAAGAGTTTGAGATTCGACATGGTTTGATCCCTCCTTTTCGGAATCAAACAACGACCTAAAGAGATGGTTTTACGAGGAAACTGGTCGATCCCTGTGAAATGTCTAATAATAAAGGAAATGTCAACAAAGGTCTCAAGGCCAATATTGCAAATGTTGAAAAACTCCTCAGGTACAAAAGAAGAAAAGGGACATCCAATCAAGATCTCTGAGGACGAGTTGAGCATGTTGAGCATCGATTAGTAGCGAACAAACAAACCAGGATTCTGTGATATCTGAGGACGAGTCGTACCGGATTCGAAGCTAATTTTGATTGTTGTCCACGAAACTTCAGCAGCCTACTCCATCCGGTCCTTTTTTTTTTTTTGTTGAGAAATTACTCCATCCGGTCTTTATTATTAGGCATTTTGATTTGTTCCAGGCTTCACCTAGTATGTTTTTTTGATTGGAGACAAAATCTTAAAGATATTTTTTAATAATTAGGACAACACAATAAATGTGAAAATACCATTTTACGGTTTTTTCTCAATCGAAAGGACATACTAGTTGAAGTGTAGGACAAAGCAAAATCTTTTATAATAAAGACCGGAGGGAGCATTATCACTTATATCATCAGACTCTTAGCCATGAATCTATCAATTTATGACGCTGTGGTCAAAATCTAAAACTTCTAATCAAGTGATATCTTACATTTCATCTGTCCCAAAATTAATGTTCATTTTAAGTTTTCACTCTAATTCATTTTTCACTAAAAATGAAAATTAATTTAAATTAGATAATTTTGAGATGAATAGAGTAAGTTATAAGATTACAAATATTTTTCAAAACGTTTTTTTATTCAACCACATTTCTTTCCTCTCCCCTATCTCTAATCGACCTCAGAGCCAATTTGGTTTAAAATATCATAATAGAATGGATATATTTGTCTTTGATTCGAAATAGAAACTGAAGCAATTGGACAAACTTTCGTTATCATGCTCTTTTCTTTTTTTGACATTAACTAATTAAGATTTCACATATGTTTTCTTGCTCAAAATGAAGTACAGAGTGGCATATGATTTCTTCCTGATAGTACCCGTTTCAAATCTTCTTTCCAAATTGCAGAACAAGATGAAATAGCAAGGAGCAAAATCCCCTGGAGAGTCTCTAACGTGGCATGACCTTGACCAAGATGAAGTATACTTGGAATGAGTTAAGCCAAGTTTGAAACTCTGTTTACAAACTTACAATAGATGACAAGTGAAGTTTCTGTACCTAACGACGAACAACCTCAACATCGTACAACGGCCCCCCTCCCCCAAATTTTTCTATATAGAGAGTGCTTGATTTCTAGCATAAAATTTCAAAAAATTAAAATTTCGCCCCTGCTTATTGAGAACTTCATCATTTCACCCCTGCAGTTTATATTTTTTGGCTCCGCCGAAATGGCCAAAAAAAAAAAGAAAAAAGTAAAACATCACCATTTGTTAACAAAATTGAACACAAAAAGAAAGGATCGATAGATGGTTGGTTCTCAAAGATTTTACATTGCAGAATGGTTTCTACCGACATCAATACCAATATTTCTTTCCACGTAACTAATTAAGAAAAGGGTTCCCAGTATTTGCATCAGCATTATCTGTTGTCTTAGTATTAAAGTCCAAAAGTCATGGTTGTTGCAGCAGAATTCAGTGAGAGCCTAGTTGATTGCTCAGGTTCAGCAGAATTCATTTTATAAATTCCTCTCTTAATATGTTTTTTCATAAAACCGAAGGGGTCCACTTAACTAAGTTTTTATCTTCAGATTTCATTACAAAATGGACCGCCACACAAATGGACACGGAAAAGGCTATATCATGAATTTCCCAGAGATAAGGGAACTGGAGAATGGAGCTATGTTCACCGCAGTTTACCTCAACAAGTATGTTTATGATTCTTTTACTATAAACTTGCAGTATGATCCATAACCATAATAGGGTTCTTTAGTACTACAATATATGTGTTACATTATTATTCAATTCTATATAATCAATTTTTTGAGCATTTGTGTATTGACCTGTTCACTTATGTTGTAATCACTAGAGACGAATGAGGAAAAATGATACGCACTTTGTCTAAAATGATAATCCACTTTGTTAAACAAAAATAATACAACCAAAGGAACTGTTTTTTTTTCTTCCCACGTAGAAAGTACTTTGGTTTTGTGATTTTAGAAAGCTAGTCAAAGTTCACAAATTGAAGGAACTACTTTTCGCAATAATGTCGGTTCATTTGGATTCGGAAAGACAAATGATCTTCTCCACCAGCATTTCAAATTGCTGATTAATTAATTATTAGGGTGCCACAAAGGGCATCGCTTGTTTGATGGTGTATAGATTGTAACTGAAGCTATACCCGTCCGATAAATACAGAATAACCATGGGACAAATTTCTGCGATCCCAGAATTCCTTGAGTTGTTTAATGTTTTGGGATCCAACGATTTTCAACAATCTTCCAACAGATAAACAAGATTTAGCTTGTTGAGTTTCGAACTCATTTCATCAAGGACTGTTCCCAAAGGCTTCCCTTGATTTTTTTTAATAAGCATCACAATCATTGGAATGGTCTCTCTAAGCCTCTAAGGCCCCGGAAGAGCTATCAGGCCCAAATTCACCTGCTTACAATGGTTCTGTTAGACATGGCGAAAGAGTTAAAGAATCAAAACAGGACCAATGCGACATATGTTATGTTGATTAGCATTTGCTTTCCTAAAAATGCGATAATTTTGTATGATAACTAATTGCAGGGAAAAGGGGCTGAAGATAAATTGGTTTCGTTCAATATAATGGCTTACTTTCCAAAGGAGTGGATGTTTTAGAAAATTTTGTACTCCCTCCGTCCCATTATTATTGTCCAGTTTGAGTTTTCATTTTTAGTTTAAATTATACTGAAAGTGAAATCTCAAATTGCACAATAATTTTAAATCAGAGGGAATAATAATCTGCCTCTTTAGGCAGAAAGATTTTAGAACCCTTGTTTCCGCTGATGAAATGAGATCAGTAGGGTGCTGTGGAATGTTGAGAGTGGAAAAGCACTTTGGACGCCTAATTCAAAACATAAGAGTCTTACTTAAATTATTTAAACTACTATATATGTTACATGACCTGAATCCATGGCATCATCAGAGAAGAATAATTAAGGTAATGCCGCTGGCCATTGTAGGGTGACGGCCATTTTTTTTTTAAAAAAATTTTCAAGCGCAAAATTAAATTATTCTTTTCCTTTCGTAGTTGGTTGATGTATAGTAAACATTCTCGAGGTTTTTCTCTTGGTAGTTGTATACTGGTATTGATATTTTATATTGATAATAATTCCAATAACATATGTAACATTTTCAAACATTGACGATTACAATTGATTCCGGCTACGGGGACTAAAATCGATTGCAAGTGTGACATTGTAAGACTAAATTGGAACTACAGTTTGTAGAAGAATGTTTATAAGATTAAGAATGAACGTTTTCCCTCCTAATTTGCTTTTAGAATAAAACCAAAAAGTGGACCGGCTATTTAAATTTGGTAGGTTGTACTGGACTAAGATGTATAGTGATAACTTCTACTTCCAACTTGTATAGACATTTAATCAAACCGTCAATAATTCAGATCGATCGGTACTACACATTCAATTCTTCCAAGTTGGATTGAGACATGAATCGCAATAGTTTTAGTCTTTTCTCTTTTTTTTTTCCGGGTATATAAAGGCAGAACTGCAGGTCATTTTTCTTATGGCAGAAGGGTGCGAGCTTTTGTTCCAAGCTTTGACATCCTATAGCTTTGAGTCCTTGTTTAGCCAAGTTATGATAAAAATTTGGGCTTTATTCACTTTTCTTTTTTTTTTTTTTTTTATATCAATTTCAGATTGCTACATCTATGCAGGAGGCACCCTATTGGTTTTTTGCTCATCTTTTGCATTCTTGTTTACACGTTCCTTACAATATAGGTGATGAAGTTACATATTCTTCATTTGTGTTTAATTTGTTGAGTGATAGATAGATTCATTGTTGATTCCGTCATTACTCATACGCTTAACCAGAATTAAGTCCCCCCTCTATACAGGAATTATGAGGTAATTTTAAGAGAAGACCATCAGACTAATTAGAGATCGGTTGCGAAGCACATCGAAATTCTTTCAAAGGAGATATTGCTATGAGGTGAGACTCTAATTCAGGTGACCAATCTTTTTAAACATTTCTTTCTTGTGTTTTAAAAGTAGATGAAATATATAATTAACATCCAAAAAATGCATCTAACGTAAAATGATATGTAAAGGAGGGAACTTCCCGCGTTAAAATTGACTGTTAATTAATGACTTTCAAGGATATTGATAGATTCACCTTCTTCCGATCCCAAAATACGGAACTTCTAGCTTGGAAGCCAGGGGAGACAGGAACGACCGTACCTTCCTGGACGGACGGCTATGCTTTTAAAGTACTGTTAAGTACTATATAAACTCGAAAAACAATACAATTATTAGAATGTGACATATTTATATGCGAGCAAGAGAACATAGATTAAGCTTCAATTATAGAAGCCGAAAATGGTGTCTCAAAAGAGTACCCCACCGCCTGAGCTGATGTCCCACTAAGCCAATTACCTCTCGTCCAAAAATATTTTAGTGTGGCTGTAGCCTGGAAGTCCTCTAAAACCCCCTAAGGGCAGCATTAAAAAAAATTAATATTAACACAAAATACACATTTTGGCTCACATTTTTGAAATTAATCTTGATTATTTTACATATAATTTTCAACCATCACAATCGAACTATCACTCTTACGGCAGTACCATTAGTTCATTATCACCCGCCGTCGTCGGACCGCCACTGGTCTGCATTGGCGGATAATGGGTCGGCAGTCATGTATAATGGTCTAGTGGAGGTGGTAAATAATAAAAATATTATTTTTAAAAAAATTATTTTTATATTATCTCAAGATTTCACTAAAAAAATATCATTTAAACTACATTTTAAAATTAGAATGAAAACAAACACAATATCCATCCAAGGCCTAAATTTCTCAAGTCTTTGTTATGTCACACAATGGGGTACAATTAAAACTTCGTAGAAGTAAGAAATATTCAAATATAATTAATAAATTATTTTCCACGTCCAACCATAGGAATTGTTTGAAGTTTAACGTATAAAGCTCTATCATTATAACTAGATGTTTGGCCCAGGCAGATGCCCGGGCGCCCCTTCTAAATTACTATTTTATTAAAATTTAATTGAATTACTATTTTTTGATGAATTAATTTGGCGTATATATCATTCATGCTATGGTTTGAGGCTTAAAAAAATATACCTATAAATCTGAGGTTATAAGGGAATAATAAATAATTAGTTTATAAGGCATTATTCTTAATTACTGGATTTAGGTATTTTTATTTTTTGTTTATATTAATCCTGCAAAACTATACGATTAGACATTTGAATTTGAATTAATATATCCATTCGTTTGAAATGTAATTGATCCTTATTTGTAGTAAAACATGTGTTTTTTTTTTTAAAAAAAATTATATAGCTTGTAATTAAAAGAGAGTTACACGTGGCAAAAAAACTCTTGAAATCTGAAATATGGTGCATTGGAGCCAAAACAGATGCATACTTAATTGCCACATAAGCTTCATGTCTTCTGCTTTAATAGGGTAAAAGGGATATGATTCGATTCGTAATAGATGGACACTGAGACTAGAGAGAATGTAGAAAGGGCCAGAATTTCACAGCAAATGATGGCCTCACTCTATTATGTACATTCAATATGAACCCATCGCACCAAATGATGGGCCTTGATAATGCTCACAACTCACAATTAAATACACAATTTTAAAAGAAAAAAAATAAGAACACAAGATTTCCTGCACCTATATAGGTATCAAAGCCCCTCAACACTCTGCTAAATTAGAACTAGGGCATTTGGATATGGCTCTCAGCTATAGACGAATGACCACAACAATTGCAACAAATTAAGTAACATTTTAAGTGCCATATATTCCCCTCTGGCCAACAAGTACAAGAGTTATATACCCAAGCCCCAATCATCATCATAAATACTAATGCTGCCATTATTCCTCCTATTATGGAACCAATATTATTGGTCCCTAAAGATTTCGTTCCTCCTGCGCGTGAGATGAAAATTCAAAACAAGAACACGTACATCAGTGCTGAGAGCGGGGAAAAAAGAGACAAAGGAGAAGGAATGATTCGAAAAACACACACGCGCGCACTCTATGCCATTAATTTATTCAATTATTCTTTCATAAACAAAACTCCAATTTGGAAACACTTTTGGTTTAACGAAATGTCATAGTTTGAGATTTTAAGTTTGTATAGCCCATTTTTAAGTTCAATATATTCACTGATATAAAGATATAAAAGACGAATATGGTAAACATCGATATTTTGCATTATTCTTAGGTATTATAGAAGTACGTTGCTGAAAATCGAAACATGAATGCTGTTAGTATATATTGATGAATGCTAACTATAGGTACAAATATAATGTTTACTTAATAAATATTCCTCCGTCCCCCCAAAAAAAAGTTCACGCTAAATTTTTAAATTCATACTAAAATTGGTAAAAAGCCAACCGACAATCACATTTGTTTTTTCTCCCTCCGTCCCAATATTATTGTCCAATATTAATTTTAAGTTCAATTTGTACTAAAAGTTAAAATTCAAACTGGGCAATAATTATGAGTATAAAACAAAAGGTAAAACAAATGACATCGCAGAATTTTTAGAATGAAAGCAATACATCCACAAGAGTAGGAGATCGAAAAACAAATAAAGGTGAATTGATCACCATTTTCTAGCCGATACTCGAAGTTGCACAAAACAAAAATAAGCCCAGATCTAAGTAATCTAGATCAAAGGCTGAACCTCCAAATTAATCTCACAGCTCCAACCTATGAAATAGTTAAGAGCTAGGGTTTGTTTGGGGGTTTCAGAAGTGTTTGCGGGAAGAAAAAGGGTTGAAGAAAGAGAAGAAAACTTTGAAAGGGAAACAGACATGAAAACTGAAATAAAGAAATCACAACATAGAGTAAAAGGTAGGAGAGAGGAAAAAAGAAGGGTTCCTTTGGATTCACTCGCTCTAACCCTAAGATTCAGTTACCTAGGGTTTTATTCCTAAATTAATTTTTTATAGTCTAAGTTTATCATAGATTCATAGTAGTAGTACTTCGTTTCTCAATTGAACGACAGGAACTTATTAACTTTATACTAGCAATATTTTTTATCAAAAACTAAAAACAAAAAAAAAAAAAAAATCACTCACCGCATCCTGATGCTGTTGTAGCATTGATGTTCAAGTTGTTGCACATGCATGTCTCCACCAGAGTCTCCACGTCAAACCCACATATGCCGCCGGAATCCTGACATACAGTACAATCCCTCATCTTTTCCGGCGACATTTCGTATTTCACCTCCACCACATTTGATGATGTTCCCGACCCCGAGGGCACATCAACCAACACGGCACCGGTTGTGTAATCGATGGACCGGATCTTGTTGAAGCTTGGTATTTGGGGGTTCACCATGGATAAGACCTCTTCTCCTGTGGCAGCTTCTTCCGTGCATAGGAGCATGTTGATAAACTCCGGGGAGCCACATCCTGGGTCGATTCCTAATGGATATTTAACAGGAACACCGGAGCAAGATTCTCGACAATAATAAGAACAAAGCACCAGCCGGGGGATTATTACCTCTGCTGCAAGAAAGAATGTGACCGCCATTCCGATGTTAACTATTTGGTTAGACCTCATTCTGGGAAATAACAAATCTCATGTGCTGATTTTTTTTTGGAAAGGGTATACTTGAGTATATGTAGGGAAAAAAAGTATACCTAAATTCGTTGTTGACTAATAATTTCTAAATGACGTTGTTGACTAACGTCAAAATCTTAAGGGCGGCGATTAGTTAAGACAGTTTGATCGTTCCAAAACCAAAAACAGTTAGACCATTTAACATACCAAAAAAAATTCTTTTCTTTTTTTTTGCTCCCAATCTATTCAACATTGAACACATTAATTTTTAAAAGTTGTTAGTTGTTAGACGTACATCGACGTGCTTAGTTTTGAATTTGAAATTTAGTGGTAAGTAATTAAGACCTTTCTAAATTATTGTCCTGTTTAGATTTTCGTTTTTGGCACGATTTTAACTAAATATAGAAATCCAAACTGGACAATAATTTCAAGAAAAAGAATTGTACTTAAAATAATGAACATAACAAAAATTAGATCACCAGGTCTCTACTTAACCGAAAATTACTCCAAGTTAAACTCTCTCCGGGTCAACACGTATAAGACCTTGTCGTGAACTTTTGTTTTTCAGATTTGAATTCAAGATTTCTTGCCGAAACCAATTTAGTCAAAAAGCCGCGTGCGTGTGGTATGTGTGGATAGAGCTTAGTAGGGAAGGAACCAATTAAATACACACATCTCTAATGTTCATTCTGGAGTTCATGCTGTGAATCATTAATGTTCATTCTTTTAATTTCTCCGAAAGAATATAGAAGATACCATCAGCACCAACTGTCTGACATGCTTCTAATCGCCTACGGTAACTTTTGGCCGTGTACTATGTTACCTGATTTTATAGAGATCATAACTTTGAATAATTATAAATAGACCTAAAATTGATTAATAATATTATATTTAAACAATACGAATAATTTCAATTGTAAATTTTGAAACCCTTTTTTTTTTTCTTTTCTTTTCTTTTTTTTTATTATTTATTTTTGAGTATTCTCACAACAGCAAGCTCCAAATTATATACAGCACTATCTCCAATTTTATTTTATTTTTAATCAAACCATGTTTTTTACTATTTCAGCAAACCCGGAACCGACAAATAAACGAGAAAAATGAGTATATAGATTTTGCCGATTTTCAATATAGAAGATGGTTTTTTTTGGTTATATCCATAGTCTAATTACATATTACTAATCCGCTAAAACTTAAAAATGAGATTCGGACACCTGACTTGTAGTTAAGGGACGAGGAGTCCCCATATACTTTTCACAACATGGGTTAAATTTTTAAACATCTATTTAACTCAACAAAATCGAATGCGTTTAATCTGACCCTCTGTTAATGAGAAGGCAAAGACCAGAGTACAAACATCTTTTTATTTCTCACCCTCCTTGTCTAGTTAAAGCCATTGAGGTTGAGAATCTGATGAAAGTGTGTTCCCAAAAAAAAAAAAAAACAGCAGAAAATTAATGTGTTACATGCACGTTCATTTGTGCACTCTCAGTACCAAAAAAATAAAAAAATAAAAATAGTTGACTTAGTAGGATTTAATGATTTTTTTAAGACAAAGGAGTAACATATTATCATATATATTTATGTGAATCGTGTCTAAGAGACCTCAGAAGTATACCTGCCTTCGCGATTGTTCAGTTTATACTTTCAATTTTGGTATAAATTATACAAAAAAATAAAAATTCTAACTAAATAATTTTTTCGGGACGGGAAGAGTATACGATAAACAAATTATAGCCTAAAAGATTCAAAATCACATCTTTTCATATCATGAGTAATGATATTTCACTCTACAAATTTAACTCTATTTTTATCTCTATTTACATATTTATCTAGTTGGCATTCTACATCATCTTTTTAATTTTATTTTTCTTTTTACCGCCAAAAAAATTAGAGATTAACAAAAGAAACTTTATTACTTTTCGTTTCTTCTTCAATATTTTCCCGGTCACAACCATGAAGCAGAATCATCAACATCACCAATAAGAAACTGATCAAAACCTTTGCGATTTTCTTTTCAAAACCAAACAGGATAAAAATTAGAAGAAGTTTTAATCCGCTTCTGTTTTTTTATCCATCGTCACGTAGAAAAGGAACTTTCAGATTTTCTCTTGATCAAAGAGGAATTTCTCCAAGTCTTCCTCGCAAAATTGTGCTAATTAATTGATGAAAAGAAACAAACAAAAGCTACAATATCAATTATCTTAATTCTATTCAACTTAGCACCAAAAAAAAAAAAAAATCTGTTCAACTTGGCTTATCAATGCCAATTAATATCAAATCATCGTCCTTATTGATTTTCTGCAGATGAGTAAATGAGGCCGCTGACTACAATTTTAATCTAACTTCTATTAGATTAATGATTAATTCAGTTAAAAAATGTCTTGTACAGAGGAACCCGTTTTCCAATTGGTAAAAAGGTGTCTTGCACAAAAAAATTTCATTTTAATTGGTAAAAAGAAACCTGAGTTCTTGGCGGCGAATGCTTAGCATTGGTGACCAGAGAAAAAAAAATAAAAAAGAAAAGTATTAAAGGTTCTTTTAATTATTTTTATGGTTGTTAAAAGAAAAAAAAATTAGGGACATGATGTGGAATACCAACTAGATAAACATGTAAGTAGAGATGAAAGTAGAATTAAATATGTAGAGTAGAATATCATTACTCAAAAATTCATCAACATGATGAACTTTAGTCCATATTTATTACTACATAAAACACCTAACTAAATTTAAATTTCTGAGTCGTTATTCGAAGTACAATGGTATTGGATTCACCAATTAACTATACCTACATCCTTTACAAAAAAAAAAACACTATACCTACGTACCCTCATGTACACTTTTAAGGATTTATCTTATTTATTTTTTCATAATTATATTCCTTATGTTCTTAATGATCCGCCTCTTTTTGCTACTCGCTTGTTATTATGGTGCATTAACTAAGAAAAAAAATTACCTCGCTTAAAAAAACAACTTAATTGTAACACAAAAAAAAAAAAAAAACCACAAGATACCATCACATTTGCAAAGTATCCAATACACTACAGGCTTTTTTTTATTCCAAAATCCCATGCAGTACACATAAAGCGTTTATTCTAATATTTATATTCTCAAGAAACATGTTGTAGTATCAAATTTTGTCCAAAACCAACACGCCACATTCAACAAAATTTCCTTAATATATCTCTACAAAATTAATAAAGGAGACTTCTTTGCTATCTCTTAAAACAACAGCTAGCTGCAGTACATCTCCAACTAACTTAGAACAATATTAAGAATTTTTTACAAGGTTTTTTTTTTTTACTTTATATTGATTAATTACAATGAGTCATAAATCAAAGGACAATTGTGTAATGAAGTTTGACAGGTTAATGAAGCTTATCTCCACATTTCTCTATCTTTCGGTAATTGAAGAGGAAAAAGGTGAGGAAGAAAGGAAATAAATAAGGAAAAATAAATGAGATGAATCTCTTAAACTAGTACACAATGGTGATATGCGTGCGTTTAGTATCATATTCCCTTACATTAAATGTTTGATTTAACATGGTAATGAGAGGAAATGTAATGACATTATTAGGACACATCCATTCCCTTTCCCGTTCAATAAATGCACCCATAGGTAACCATTTAAAATTTGCTCTTAATATAAATAAACTGCCATCAATATATAAATTTTCAGTTAAAAAAATGTACTCTTTTTGTCTTGAAATAATAATCCAATTTAGATCTTTAATTTTAGTACTCCCTTTACTCCAAGATAAACGTCATTCTACAATTTGCACATAGTTTAAAGAACTCTTTAATAATATAGTAAAATTATTTGAATATCCTCAACTAACCCCATTTAAAAAATGTCTATCAATAATATTAATTCTTTTGAGGGTAATTTCAGAAATTTTAGACAAAAAGTGCATTAAAACATATGAACCGTAATTATTTTAAAATTTTTTTCTTTTACTAAAACGACACTTGTTTTGGATCAAATCGGACATTAATACAGTTAGAGTAAGTAGCAATATATACTAAACTTCAATGTCAATTTGGCCATGCTTTTTCTGGGCTGACAAAAGAATTAATTGAATATTTTAATGTTAACCAAACATTTCCTTTTTAACAAGCCGAAAAAGTTTACTAGATATGAAATTATTTCTTGAACTTTTAAGAACGGGAAAGAATTTTAAAGTGTAGGCCTGTGCTTAATATTTTCTCCAGGGAAAAGTCAATTTTTTTTAATTTTTAATTTTTTGATTTTGCGGCTTCAACACCTTCAATAAATTTTGGCGCATACGAGCTTCCACAACATTGGCAACTGAGATGTCCCGAGCTGGAAAAGTCAATTCGGTACACATTTATTTCAGGAAATTCGGACGGACCGCGACTAGCTAGTGTTTGGTTTGACAGAAAGGTGACCTTCTTGTGTATCCCCCAGTCTCATACTTTTACTCACCCAATTTTTCTTCTTCTTATATTCCTTTAATTTCAAACTGTAAGTCGTAATAGACTTTGTATATAAATTAAAGAGACAATCATCCAATAGTTAATTTATGTGTTAAATATCTATTTTATTCCGTATTAATTACGTTGGAATTGTGAACAAGACTAAAATGAAAATATATTGGCATCATTTATTGAGGGTAAAGTTAGAAAAATAATCATTAATTTGCCTAGAATTTGTTAAACGATTTACATTTTGAAAAATCTCTCAAAACCTAAAACGACTTACAAATTGAAAAGAGAGAGTAAGCAATTGTTTTTAATATTCATCCATTTTCTTGATGCTTAAAGTTTTTTCTTGGATTTTTTTTTTCCTTAAACATTTTGAATGGGTTCTCATGTTATGATAAAACGAGCCCGAATAATAGGACTTCTTGTAGCCATCAAGGATATTTCCAGAAATGTTTATCCTTGAGGTCATTTCCAAAATGCAAAACTCATCTTAATGCGCATAGAAATAAACAAAATTAGGGCCGATGATTATTGCCAAAACAGAAATTAAACAAAAATTTAATCAAATACCGAAATTACCCTTAATCAGCATTTTTTTTTCTTCTCAAATTTTTTCTCCTCTTTCCGCTTCCATTGTCCAAAAAACATTCCCATATCCATAACCAAATACAGGTAACCCAAAATTTTGGCAGAACCTTCTTTCCTATGCAGTTACGCAATTGAAATTATTTTTTTCCATAATGATTTAGGAATATACCAAAAAGAAAAAAAAAAATACAAACATATAGAATACCAATTGAGAATTCAACATAGAGAAGACACTCTGTTCTCCTTTATGCACGTTCTTAATTTCTTTCAACATATTTGAAAGTTTCAAATCCCAGGTCCCATAGATTGCACGTCCTGTTGTTTAGACATAATTTTGAAGCACAAATTGTCACAAATAAGAAACTAAATTGAAATAATTTAGGGAGAAAATGAAGTTTTCAATTCACTGGTTCTCTACTCTGATTTTAAAATTCAACTTGAAAAGAAAAGAAGAAAAGAGATCTTGATTGATCTCATCCTTGAATTAGCTCTGTATCAGATGGTATTGCTGCCGATTGTATTTTCAGATGAAACCTCATAACCAGAAAGAGAAATGCGGAGAGATGTTAAATTTAAGTTGTTTCACTAATGAGGATAATTTAGTAAAAGTCGTTGTGGATGTTAATTTTTGTTCTGGCAGAATCATTAGCTAAAATTAGGATCCCGACGAATAGGATACGACAGATAAGTCAAATTCTATAGTGTAATCAGAAATTAAGCTGACTCCAAGGCAGAAAAATTCTGTTGAATTGGAGTAGTAGTGTTTATGTTATATTTTGTCAATTGGCAGCAATAATGCAGTTAATAAAAAATAAAAATAAAAATAAACTGCATTCTTCTCTACAAGAAATAGGAAAGGCCGCCAGAAAGAGGCCTTTGACTAGTGGTCTTATGATTTTTCAACCTGAAAAACTCATGGCGGCTGCGGAATGGACAGAAGATTTCTGGCAAAAAGCATCCAGTGAGCTTAGTTGCTTACTTGACTTGGCTTATACATCTCATAATGCCCTCATCTTCACAATTCATTCTAACAGGATGAAGGGTATATCTTTATATGGATTTCACAACTAGTTAATCATCTTATAGTTCATCAACAAACCAACAAAAAATCTGATCCAGAGTCACAGAAATTGAAAATATGGAACATCCTGCAAATTCTACACACCACAATTTACCAAAACAGGTATGTCCATCTACCATTTAATCTCATTTACTTTAGTTAATTGTAGTTCAGAAAGTTCAAAAAAAATCTATGGCTTCAAACGAGAGTCTTGGGATATTTTAGTACATGAATAATACTTGTAGCTAATGAATTAATGGTTTGTTTTTGTATGTCCAGAAAGCTAGTCAAGTTCATGAACTCAAAGAGCTTCTCTTGGCAACAATCTCTGATCATTTGGACTTGAAAGACCAATCATCATCTGCTCCGCCACCGGCATTCCAAATCGCAGATTTAGGATGCCACCAAGGGCATCATTCCTTTGATGTGATGAAGACCATAACTGAAGCTATATCACACAAATACAGAACCAACGGACAGAGTTGCTCTGTCCCGGAATTCTTTGTGTTCTTTAATGATTTACTATCCAACGATTTCAATGCCCTCTTCAACAATCTTCCAGCAGATAGACAGTATTTTGCTGGTGCGGTTCCAGGCTCTTTTTATCAAAGATTGTTCCCTAAAGCTTCCCTTGATTTCGTGTACACTTCAAAGTCTGTACAATGGCTTACTCAGGCTCCTGAAGAGCTATTAGACCCTGATTCCCCTGCTTTCAATGGGGACAGGATTTTCTACATCAATGCTCCAACTGCAGTTTGTGATGCATACACAGCTCAGTTTTCCAAGGACTTGGAATCCATCCTCAACGCTCGAGCGCAAGAGATGGTTCAAGGAGGATTGATGGTGATTGTGATTCCAGGCCGGGCTAGTGGGACGGATCGAGCACAATATGCTTCCGTTGGTCAAGTATTTATTCCCCTGGAACCTATCCTGTTAGACCTGGCAAAAGAGGTAATGATCAATATGATAGAAAGAAAAGTCTTTTGTATCACTTCTTGTATAACATCGTTTTGAATATTTGACACATTCACTAACCATTTTGTTAGGATTCTAACACCTGATTTTGTATATAATTACTGATTTTTTTGCAGGGAAAAGTGAGCAAAGGTAAAATCGCATCGTTCAATATAGCGACTTATTATGCGTCACCAGAAGAGGTGGAGGATGTCGTTCAAAGGAACGGATGTTTCGAGATTGTGGAATTGGTCTCTTTAGACAGAAAGGTTTTAGAACCATTTTCTGCACATGAAATGAGGATGGGATTTGGAGGGATGTTGGCAAAGCACTTTGGGAATGAGATAGCTGAAGAGGTTATCAATCGTTACGAGAAGGAAATTCCAAACCTTTGGGTGACTAGCAGTACCCAAGAAGGCAATGGTAATTTCCTCTATGTGGTTATCAGATACAAAATCTCAGGATGAGCTTCCAGGCGCTACAATTGAATAGATGGAAAATAAAAGAAACAATTCTATTATTCCTTTTAAATTTGGACTTTGTTTTAGTGTTCTGCTCATTAGAAACTTCTTCTTCTTCCTCACAGAAGAGAGAGCTAGTTAGCCAGAAACTGGATCTTATCACCAGTCCTGCTTATAAATTGTTACTACTAGGTTACATTTTGTCTTTGTAACTCCTAGACTCTAATGAGAGCAAAATAATAATGCCAATAAATGTTTTAAATTTCTCCTTATTCATTTAGTGTATACAATACTGTTGCGCATATGATCAAATTTGTCCCAAAATTATTGTCCAGTTTGAGATTTCAATTTTAGTACAATTTGAACTAGAAATGAAAACTCAAACTGAACAATAATTATGGGAAGGAGGAAGTATTTCTTTCCCCCTTTCAATTATCTTCCACCTCGCCAATCATCAATAGGCACCAATATATCACATACTATTAACTGCTGTCATGCTTACCGTCATTGGACCATTGTTACCTGATGGCTGCCAGATAAATTCTAGCCGAATTCTGCAGAATTGGCTTGCATCAGGGAATGTAAAATGTGATGTAATGGTGACTTATGTTTGAATAGATAGTAAGGCTTTACAGGTTAGAAATATTTGCGCCTAAACGAGAACAAGGTCAACATCATGCAAAGGAAATGGAAAAGAAGACAACAAAACCATTTATCAACACAGAATTAAGAAAAGATAGTATTTACATCAGCATTATCCATTTTATTTGCAACAAGAAAACGAATGTATAGAACATGTCAGTCTGACAGAGAATGAAGAACTAGTCTCGGATTATTCCAGTTGACAAATTTACCTAAAGTCACCCTAACTTATCTAACCAACTGGACATGTTGCAATGCTAGAAACATTTTTATTAGCAAAAAATTAAAAAAAAAAAAAAAAAATTAGCTGGGTGAATCCAGTTGTTGTGATATGATTATCTGAGGCTGCCACTTCCAGGAGCCTGGCCAGACTTTTTGGCAAATTCATCCAATAAGGAGCAATAACTTGCTAGACTTTTGCTGATGGTATTATGGTAATGTCTCCTTCACTCCTTGCTTGCTAAGAAACTCAATCCTGAATTAATCCTTATCCTCACCATTACTAAAGGGAATCCTATTGCTATGTGTTAATGTGTTCTTAGTTGCCAGAAACCTGTGATCCCATAGGCCTCACCTAAACATTATAAGTAGCATACCTTACGTCTACTGTTCTAATCATTCATCATAACTTTGTTGTATCAACTAATTTGGGTATTGTCTAAACTATTAGCTCCCTTCAATTTCCAGTTTCCGACCCAAATTCAATATAACCGGCCTAACTACTACAATGGATTATGCATACTTTCCAGATGATGATTTCTTTTCAGGTCTGAATGAAATTCAACAGTGTTTCTCCAAAGAAGAAGGACTTCTTCTCAAGGATGCACATGCAGTTGCTTGCAGCCATACTCACACTTGCAATCCGCCCGGTCCTCATAACACGCATACCCATAGTTGTATCCATGTTCACACCAAGATTGTGCCTGCTCCTGCACCCCCTTCGATTGAAGATAAGATTCGCCATGATGACGCGGTTGAGGCTGCTGAAGAAAAGAAAGCCACGAAACGAACTTTGAGCAACAGGGTAGCTGTGGGAAAGTACCGAGCAAATAAGAAAGCTAAGGCTGCTTTGATTGAAGAAGAGCTTGCAAAATCAAAAGCTTTAATTCAACAGCTGATGGAAGAGCTTACGAAACAACAGGCCATGTATCAACGGCTGATGGAAGAGAAGGCTCTTATAGAAGGTGAAAATGTGAATTTTAAGTATCTGGTTATAGACATCAAGAGCAGGATTGAAGGCATGATAGGATCTTCTCCAAATCAGATGCCAACCATCAAAATTGGTGGTGGGGATGTTTGTCAGAATCTTCAAAGCTGCAATAATTCACTAAGTGCACACTATACAGATCTCTGTGATATACAATGTGTTGATCAGCTTGGTGAATTCAGCAATCTGGTATGTATGATGAAAAAGCACTGCAATTAATCCACATTGCTGATTCAGTCTGCAATCAACATCTTAATGCTATGCGTTTGTTAGGGGTACTCTGTTGTGTATTCCAATATGTTGCTAATCGTGTAATATGTGTGGAACTGCATAGTTCTACTTGTAACATCATTTTGAACGAGTTTAGAGTTGTCAGGATTTTGATATCTTTAACACAATCAAGATGATGGAAGGGAGTTTTATTAATCCGATCGAGGTGAGAATTACAATACCACCACCCAACCTCATGAGACATTAGAACTCGAAATTGTCACCTCTGGAATTCTCAAACTTGTGAAATCATTTGGAGTCTTGAATTGATTCTTAAAAAGTCAGCAAATGAAGATTGAAAAGCTCTGTTACTTTGTATGAGCAAACAAATCCTATATAGGTAAAATCATTTGTTACTCGATGAAACAGTCAAATCGCATGTAAGATCACAAAGTAAACAAAAGCAGCAGTACTTGAAGCATAAATGTTATAAAAGTGTCCTTCCAAGTTCCCGACAACTAAAAACTCTGCGCCTTACAGTTAATTTCTTACCAGTTCATGGGGGTAAAAGAAGTGCCACAGCCACATTTGGGTTTAGCATTTGGATTGATGTATACAAAGTTACCATCTAAACTTTTTTTCAGCTTTAGCCTTATAGTCAATTGTAGTCCCTAAGACATGCATTATGAACTTAGAGTCAACCAACAGCTTAAACTCCCTTTTTCCTCAACCACCTCATCCAAATCCCCCTTTCTCATCAGCATCAGCATAAAGCACGTCGAATTCGAAGCCGCGGCAGCCGCCCGATGTCAGATCAAGTTTAGCAAAAGGGCGGGCGCTGCAACACTTCTAATTGTCGCCTTATTTCGGAGGCCGCTGCCTCCGTCCTCTTGCTTTCTGTCCAACTTTCTCTTTTTATCATCATCATCAGCAGCAGAATCTGGTGCGGAGAACAAGCCACGGAAGCTCCCCGGCATCGCAGCAGCAAAAGGGCTCGGCTGGTGCGGGAATTTGGAAGCCGCGGACCCTGTAAAGGTCATCATCATCACTTGCTAAGTGATCGCAGGTGCCTTCTTCTCAACAGCTGCTTTTGAAACTGAAGAAAATGATGCCAAAAATGCCCATCCTCCTCCGGCTTTTTATAGCTAGAATAATGTTTCTTTGATCAGTGAGTTTGTGCCTGAGGGAAATCGGAAGGATCATGGAGAACAACCAGGGGTTTAATGGACAGGGAAGAATTTCATTAGAAATCTATCTTCTTTATCATTACAGTGACCTCCACAAACATTTTGTTATAATTAACAAACATACCATATACCTAAAACCAAAAAAAAAGAATAGACATGTATTGTCTTGACTATTCACTTTCAAACATGCCTAAAATCAAAATCCTAAAATCATTGAAAATCCAGAAGTCGTCTAAAGACCAGAAACCCAACGAATTACCATCGGATACCACAACTTAATTTAATCAAATTCTTTCAAAAGATTTGCAGCTACAACAATATTAAACAAGAAAAATAAACCCTGATGTGACCACAGACTGTCCTAAATCCTCAACCCAAAATATATATATATATATATATATATATAAAATCCTATATACGTATATAATTATGAAACTTAAATTTTTCTCCGAAAGATTATATAATACATACACCAATAATTTTGTATATAACAAATCCGCATACTACGAATAGAAAAGTGGATTTGGAGTTTTTGTACCTTTATCGTTCTTTGAGATAATTTTTGTGATTTGGAGGCTATGTAATGATTTATACAAACACGAAATAATGAAGACGTGGATTATGGACATATACATACAATATAGAGATACTGAAGGCGTGAGTAGGACATACTAAAGCGTGACTAAAGAGTCTGAATTTTCCTCACGGGTTAGCATTTTATCTGAGTTAGGATTCTGTGTGTTTAAGATCCAAATCTCGTCATTTGTTAAACTTTTTCTTTGTCCCCAAGTAAATATTTGTTTTACTCCATTATTATAATTTATATCTCTATGCCTGACCTGTTAATTTCATCTTCTTACTAGGACTTGATTTTCATTTCCTTCATTTTTTATTTATTTATTTTTATTTTTGAGGCATCTCAACAATTTCAAGTTTTATTCACAATCTTTTGCCATTTTCATGATTGATGAATAAGCGTTTCTAAATTACCTTGCATTTTTGGTACCCTGAAGAAGACAATAACCTTTTCAAAACAGACAAGAGACAACATGCATCTAAGAATCTCTTGACAAGAATAAGCTCATTTCTTCCCACCAGAGGGAGAGACTCCTCAGCATGCTCTTAAAAGGGTTCCACAACCATGGCCTCTTTAAGTTCCCCGATAAAGTACATGATCATCATAAGCAAAACTTTAGTCACAAGAAATCGTTACCACTCTCTCGTCAATCGTTCAATACGATACAAATTCTCATTTCTCAAAAAGATAGCAGATAAAGTTCCCTCGCAGCATGCCACAAGTCCAGGAGTCCTGTATGATGACATGCCGCAATGAATACAGTAGATTTGTAACAACAATCTGGCTTCTCACCCAATAAACTTCGTGATTTTTTTTTTGAGTAATTTTATATCAGAAGAATTACATGTACTCATCACCGACTAATTAGTTGCAGCACAAAAATTCAGTTCTGTTGGTGGCTTGTATACAGCAGGAAGAACTCTCTCTTGCAAGTTATTCCCCCGTGGTAACTGACCTTCATCTTTTGACAGGTACTTCACCAATGAGAACAGGCTGATGTTACAGAGTCCTATATTTCCAAAAGCTGAGGACACAAGACCCGAAACAGATATAGTGCTAAGGGAGTCATGGACGGTTAGTCTTCTTCTGGTTGTATGAATTCAAGGTCCAGCTTCCTCTTCAAATGCGTTCTGTCAGCACTGCACAAGAGGGAAACTACTAGTATTAACATTGGTAGAAAGTCCAAAGTCAAGTTATAAGCCAATTGATGACATTCCAGAAAGAAATGTTCAAATTGGTCCATATTCATATTTCCCACCAAGTCCAGCACAAGTACAACTCATTGAATGATCACTTCCTCAGATTACATCAAACTAGGAAACTAACAAACAATAACCAGTGCAAATATCACTACCATCAAAGCACCCACCACAGCTCCACGAATAGCATATGGTACATGCCAAACTTTAATTAAATACATGGTAGCTAATCTAAAACATAACCATTAGTTTCACATGTCTATGCAAACAATTCCAGGTATCAACTTACATCTTGTCCAACTAAGGAAATCATACCACTATTAAATGAATATTTTCCCCATTTTCATTTTTACTCGTGTTTGATGATTGATAATTATCAATCATAGAAATTGTAACCTCAGGTAACACCCTCATTAATCTCAATTCTGCAAAATTATCCTTCTAAAGGCTAAATATCGGCACATGCAAAGCAGATGCAAATGTTAACAGTCGTAAGTACCTGTTAATAGTTGGTCTATTAGGAGGCCTCGCCCCCAATACTGAGAAGTCTAATGACATTGCAGCATGTTCACTCCTCTCACCACCTGCTTGTCTGATATCGTAATTATTACCATCCATCCTATCACTTGATTGGGGGTTCCCATCAAATCCATCACGATTTGGCATAACCCTTCTTGACTTTCTTGGAGGAGACAATACTGTCGGACCATCGGTTGGATTGAGTTCTGCGGACCATCCCGTAGACAACCTAGCTGGACCATCCTGTGGATTAGCGGCATCCTTTTTCGGAGCAGGTCTTGGAAGTGAAGCTGGTTCAGTAGGCAGAGGTCCAGAAGAGAAGTACCTAAAGGAACAAAGAATCAAATACTGCAATAAAAGACTTTCACATATGAGGCATCAAATGGAAAGTACCTATGTTCTAATGCCTGTTGAGCTGAAATTCTGGCTTTTGGATCATAAGTGAACATCTTTGATAAAAGATCCAAGGCATCATCACTAGCCATCGGAAAAAGTGTGCGGAGTGGCTGCCCTGCAACATATTGGTACTCCATATAATCAGGCAAGTACACCATATCTGGCCACTGCGAAGGCTTTGGAGTCCCAAAAGCAGCAAAGATCTTCCCCAGTTGATCAATATCACTATTTCCCTATAAGATGTTTGATTATAAGAAAAGGAAAGAAAAAATAAGAAACCAAGACACCACTGCTGGACATGAGAAAAAATCAAAACACTCATGCTTATCAAACATGTAGTTATAGGCTTGTATTCAAGAGATTTCTTTCCTTTCACAAATCAACTTGAAATATTGTATCATCTTCTTGTTTCCTTTCAAACAAGTAAAACGACTTCCAGGTAAATGAATAATGCAACAAAAGCTTTGAACATTAAAGAGAAGGGGAGAGATAACAGATGAAATCCTTTTTTATTTCAATTAGTTGGACAGATCGAAAAGAAAACAGAAAGATAGGTGCAGATATCCTTAACTTTTGTCGAGGCAGTCATGCGTAATTCCTGCCATGAAGTAATGCATGCTCATATCGCTTCATGAATCAAAGCTAAAAGGAAGCTAAAAAATTAAACATACATCCAAGTCCTTGAAAAATACAGAGGATGTGTAAAATAGTGAGCATCAACAAGGAAACTAAGATATGTGGATCCCTTATGAGAGAGTGGAGACAGAAGGGGAATTATTTCATTAACTGTCCTAGTTCCAAGGATTCATTCACTCTGCTAATGCCACTCTCAAATCATTTTATCCCTTCTACAATGTACACTCATCATTTAATTCCTTTACTTTTCTTTACCTGAAACGCTATATTAGATTAAGCAATCTTAGATTAATCATAGAGAAGCAGAAATTTAATGGTTTAGGGGAGTAGCAACTAAGCAGATCCTCAAACCAAAGTAGACACTCATCCATCAGGATTATCTCAAGTAGTAAAACAAGATGAAGACAAGAAGCTTGATCGCATCATTACGTCACAAAAAAGAACCCCACTTCAAGTATGTAAAGGAATACTTTAAACCTCAGCTACAGAACCTTTCATTTGAAGACCATAATAACTTCTCATTATATAAACAAGTCAAATAGATAAGTGAATATTTAACAACAAAATGAGTCACAATAAAAGTTAATAAGCTATCCAACTTCTCAGGCATTAGCGATTGTAATAAGTAATTACCTGCAGAAATGGACGTCGCAATAAAAGTTCAGCAAATATACAAGCTGCTGCCCAAATATCCACACTTGGACCATATTGCTTTGCACCAAACAAAAGCTCTGGTGCTCTGTACCAGCGGGCAAATACCTATATAAATAAAATGACAGAAGCCAAAGTTCAGTATTTCTTCCAGCAGCAATGTAGTCCCTAGTCATGCACCCAAGAAAAACAAAAAATTCTAATCAAGAATGTCCAAATCAGGGAATAAAAAGTTTGAAGTCAAAATTACATAAATATCAAAGGTTGCAAGTCAGAGGAAGTTCCATGATTATATATTTATATCCACAGTTGCATTAGAACGTCTGATGTGATGAACTTCTACACTAAAATTACAATGTCCTCGAACATCTCAATATTAGTTTCTGTTGACCAATAAGGAGATCAAAACCAAAAAATCAAGGAAAACTTTTGGGATACTAACAATAGAAAAACTTAGCATAATCACGGATAAGAAATTATAATCTGCAAGCAGGACAAAAGGTTACAGAAGTGGCTCAAAGAGACAGAGGAAATGAGAGACTAACAATCTCAAAGTTTCCAGCTCTTTCTGATTCAGGGAACTTATATGAATCAGAGTTTTTATAGGTGGGAGAGATCAAATTAATATCCAACGAGATCTGACAGGCAGCTGAATAAAAATGCGAAACAGGCAACTTACAATGTAGCAACAAAGCAAAATATGAACCAGGTGCGTAAGTGAGAAATGAAACAAACCTGGTGAGTAAATCTCCTGTCTGGACTGCCGAATAACCTAGCCAAGCCGAAGTCAGCAAGCTTAAGCTGTCCGCGTGGGCCGATCAATAGATTGTTTGGTTTCATATCCCTGCAAAAAGAAACCTGACTACAATCAAAACTCGAAGAAGAAGCTTGCTGACAAACATAACTAAGTGAGTTCAGAATGTGAAACTTGCCTATGAAGCACCCATTTCTTATGGCAGAATGCCAGTCCTTTCAAAGTCATCTGAATATATGACTTGATATCAGCTGGCGAAAGCACAATATTACGGTCACGAATTACTGCCTCTAAATCTGTCTCCATGAACTCAAACACAAGATGCAAGTTCCCTTTATGAGGAAAAGCATCAATGAGTTCGATTATATTGGAGTCCTTGAGCTCTTTCAACAGCTTAATTTCCCTAAGAGCTGTGAAATTCACCCCTTCTTTCTGCTTCCCTATTCGAATTTTCTTAATTGCCACTTTCTGCCCTGTCTGCAAGACATAATTTCAATCATTCACCAATCAATATAATTTTAAACAGTATAAAATCTTCTTCCGAAAAAAGGAACACCCAAAAAAATATCAAGCGAGTCCGATTTCATTCAAGTGCATTGTACAAACAGATAAACGAAATTAGAGAATTCACTGCTTCCTCAGCATATGATTAAATTTGGAACCAATTTAAACCCATTTCAAAATCCGACACACGAAATTTCAAGAAACATAAAACAATAAAAACCCTAAATATCGAATTAAAGAGAAACACGAACAGCAAATCGAAATTCAGAAGAGCAGGCGGGTACCTTAGTGTCGATTGCTTTGTAAACAACACCATACGTGCCTTCACCGAGGACTTCCCGTTTAAGGTAACGATCGAAAACCTTCTTCGTTTCGGGTTCCGACATTCTTTATTGACAAACGTGTTAGTGAAACTGGGTGAGAGTATAAATGTTCGTTTCAGAGAAGGAAGGTTTTAGATTCTCATATCAAAAACCCAAATTTCTCTTTTACTTCTCGAGGAATTAAGACGAATGAATTATCGTGTCCTAGTTAACTGTACAACAACTGATTCATGGGAGCCGAAGATTTAAGAAGCGAAGGAAGCAATAAGCATCAACAGAAATTCACTAATTCAGAACTCCGGACGCCAAAATCTGGAAGTGTGTGTTTTAACGGGGGCTGCGTGTGAGAGAGAAAAAAATTTCTAAAATGCAGACTCTTTTTCGTTCCGTTTGTACGCTGATACGCTCCCACTGTAGTAGTATTTTAGTGCCCTTTCTTTAGCACTACTTTTTTTATTCTAATCTTTTATGAGCTTTATTAAAAAATATTTTGCCAAATTATTGCTTTCTTTTTTTCTTTTTTCTTTTTTTTTTGAAAACTTAAGTATTCCATAAATTTGGGTTTGAAAGTAACTTGTTTTGGTGTACAAAAAAGCAAAATCCTTTCTTCAGAATAAATGTCTGTTTTCTTTTTTTTAGCTGAGAAGTGACTGGTGAGAGTGGTAATAAAAAAAAAATCACACAAGATCTTCGATTCACATGATTAAATGGACATGAAGTGTTTGATATAATGAATTTGGGCATTATTGACATCAAGATGAGAGATCGACCGCCCACGAATTAAGGCAACAGCCAACACCGAGCGAATAGTGATCGACTTACTGACTGGACCAAAAATGTCAATAGTTATGAGCCTACAATCTGTAAACTTACTTCCAATGAGTATTTCTCAATACATTACTTTTTCCTTTTTTTTATGGGTATCATACTTTTAGACTCTCTATGAGCCAACAATATGCTAAATCCGCTTTCATATGAGAGCCTTCCAGGTCCCAATACGGTACTTTTTTATTTTTATGACTATTATATTTTTAAGCTCTCTATGAGCATACAATCTCTCTCCCAATAAGTTTCTTTAAAACAAATAAAAAATTAAGTACTCCATAAATTTCAATTTGAAAGTATAGTTATAATGTAAGATAGAGGTACTGAAAGTATAGTTATAACTATTATACTGCTATGCAAGGGGAGGTGAAGAATGGAAAGAGCTAGCAGAAGAAGACGCTTTTTTTTTTTTTGAATAACTTGGCTGTAATCTTCATGAATCACTGAGGGTGTTAGTTCCTGGTTTGATCAATGATGTAATCATGGTATCTTCTAAATGTGTATATAGATAAAATTCAAAGAAGCTATGGATACATGGGTGTCTTTCATATGAAACGGCAAAACCATACAGTTTTCTTGAACAAATTCCCATACAAATGTGTAGAGTTTACACTTTACACATGAATGAGTAGAAAGCTGTAGCTGTAGCTGTCTTTGTAATATGAGTTTGTTGAGTAAAAGTCTCTACTACAAAACTGTTGTGCTGCTTGCAATTATACAGTTAAAAAATGAGGTACCAATGATGGCAAAGCTGCAGAATCAAGAACTTCAGCAACACCTTACTGATAAGGTGGTTCATTTCACAGCACATAAGATTTCTGTGATGTGATCAAAATGAAAAATTTGCAGCATAATGGAAACTCGCTCCAGATTGTTGATCATTCTGCATCCTGCGGTTTCAAAATCTTCATCTCTGTGTCCACTGGCGCTGGGTTGTGTTGGATATTTGAAATCCTTTACATCAAAATTTTGGGCTTGTAAAGCTTTTATGACACAATATCCACAGGGATCAAAGAATTATAAACTCTTTCTCTAGCAATCTTTGCCTGAGAAACGAAGAAAGGAAATAGGTCAGTGAAATGTGCCGTAAGAGGCTATGAAGTGATATCATCTTGAATTGATAGGCATAACACTTACTTCCTGTTCCCAGTTTGTGCGCACAGTTATGGTGAACAATGACACAACTTGTACAATCAGTGCAAGAATTATTCCCAACCAAAGGCCCTAAATTATCAATTAGCCGGAAGTTAGTCAGCATAATGATATAGATCAGAAAAATGATAGGTGAAGAACTGAGACTTTGGAAGAAACAGTGCAAAAATTCTCACCATTCCTCCAATATGTAGAACAAAAGCTAACAAGATGGCAACAGGAATGCCCACAATGTAATATGATCCAAGGTTGATGTATGCGCCGATCTTTTGCCAGCCACATCCTCTGACAGTACCTGAATAATAACCAAGCCATTTTCAATATGTGAGCTTAAAGTCGTTGACATTACAGTTGAATGATAAGGCTAACCATGCTAGAATAGTTGTATATACGGTTATGTCATTGATTGAAATTCCTGTCTTTACTTAACAAATGGTATTACTCTTTGGAAAAGGCATTTTAGCTAGTAAACAGCCCCTTGTGCTGTCTCATCATTTAGACATAGGTTCATTGAAGAAGTCTGGGAAGGAAGTTACAAGTAAATGTGGTCGATGAGGTCAGATGATTTACCAGAAAGAACACACTGAATTCCATCCACCAAGTTTGATGTTGCTAGTATAGGCAGCATGAGAGCTACATATTTTACCACTTCCACGTCGTTGCTATATGCATATCCCCAAACATTACGTATCAATATGAGGACTAATCCAACAAGGATGCCCTCAGTTAATGCTGTTAGCAATACAACATACACTGCCAGACGTGCTGTCTTTGGATGACCGGCTCCTAGCTCATTTGACACTCGCGTGCTTCATCAGAATAAGTTGTGTTAAAAAAGATTCAAGTTGTTAACCCAAAAATTAAATAAATAAATAAAAGAAAAGATTCTGGTGGAACATTTCGCACCACACCTTCTTCAAATAGAATGAAAATCCAATATTTTGATTATTTGGAACAAACGAAAAGGGTACAGAGAACATGCATAAAGAAAACCTTCCTATCAAACTGACCTTATGGCATTACTTAGTCCATAGGGAATCATCCAAACAGTTGCAGCTGTATTGAGGCTGTTGATAAAAGGTTCGATAGGAAAACGTCATCAACATGAACTTAGCTCATAGAGTAAAATAACAGAACATTAGGTCAGCTGTTTGTACCAGATAGAGAGCACGGAGGTTTCCAATTGCGGATTTGGCAGAAGACCCGCAAGCAGAACCATCATCTCAAATGACCAGTTCTCCAAACTGCAGCAGTTTACAGGTACTTACTAACTTATTAACAGATGAAAGCCAAATGCAATACAGATGATGATTTTCTATGAGATTGGAACTTTAAAAGACATACCAAATCATGATAGCTGAAGGGATGGCAAGCTTAAGAAAATTGGGAATATCATGCAGTGCTTCTTTTGAAAATCCAGTCCAAGTCTTTTTACATGAAGGAGCAATCCTTACGTATAGTGCTAGCAGAGAAAGATTGACCCAATACGAGATGCCATTCGCGAGGGCTGCTCCCCTGAATCCAAGGCCAGACTTGAAAACTAGAAACCAGCATACCAGGATATGCAATAAGGTAGTGATTCCGGATGTTAACATCATGGGAAAGACATTGTTCTGAGTCTGTAAAAACCTCACATGACACTGAAGTAGGCCATATCCAAAAAGGCTAGGAATGATGTACTTAGCATAAACACCAGCTTGTTCTGATATTTGAGGATCTTGTCCTAAAAACTTAAGAATGTGACCAGTGTTAGCCCAAATGCCTGCAAGAGGGATGCATACAAGGAAGAGCACAATCATAGCTCTTTGCATGTGTACGCCAAGCATATGGTATTGCTTTGCTCCGTAAGACTGACCACATAATGTGTCCAAAGCACTAGACATCCCCATCTGCTCAAAGGTCAACCATAAAAAGCACACAATTATTCCCTAATAGCAGTTTAAAACATCTGAATTCCCTTCAGTAATAACCCACCAATACCAATACTAGGACTAATCTTTTTCATTACTTCATTTCCTAGGCAGATTTACAAGATTGAACTCTAACATTTCTACAGAAGCAGAACATTAGCCGACATGGAAATTACATACAATCTACCTATGTTTCATCAGAGATGTAAGAAGCAATAAAACATCTGAATTCCCTTCAGTGATAACCCACCAATACCAATATTAGGACTAATCTTTTCCTTTACTTCATTTCCTTGGCAGATTTTTACAAGATTGAACTCTAACATTCATACAGAAGCAGAACATTAGCCGACATGGAAATTACATACAATCTACCCATGTTTCACCATAGATGCAAGAAGCAAGGAAAACGAAAACAGACAATGAATGATAAGCTCTTTCTAGGTAAATGCAAACCATAATCATACAAACTTCAAATCAAATAGACAAATTTCATAAATTTCCATGCAACCAAATAGAAGTAAGTTTACACTGAAGTCCCATATAATAAAATTCAAAAGGGCTAAAGCAGAACCTAATTCAGACTATCAGATATAATGATGGCCATGAAAATCCCAACTCACCAGTAAGCTAAAACCAGTAACAGACGCAAAAGACGTGGCCATGGAAGCAGCAGAGAGAGCCAATTTGCCAAGATGGCCAACGAACATCACAGAAATCAACTGCAAACAGAACTGTAAAAGGCTGACACAAACGAGTGGCCCAGCTAACCATATCTGCTTCTTGACTTCCTCCACGATTTCTTTCCTCTTAAAACCACTCCCAATCCCTCTGTCATCGTCCTCATCACGTAACAACCCTTGTTGAAGAATCCCCACATCTTGTTCATGATGATGATGGATATCATCAATCAATGGTTTGAAGATGGATACTTGTTCTTCACCTTCTGTAGCCATGTTGAATCAAAATGTATAAAAAAAAAAAAATTAAAAATGCTTTCTTTCCTCACGCAGTCACACACAAAGACAGAGGCATGGAGCAGGGTTACCACCACCCTGACTGAACCTGAGGTAGAGAGACAAGAGTGGAACTAATTGCCCTTTTAATATTGGTGTTTTTTTTTTTTTTTTTAAGGTTTTGAATTTCGGGTCGTGTTCTATTTTTCTTCCATGATGATAAAATAAGAAAAACATTCATTTTGTTTCGACTCCTCCTCTTTTCTTTTGTTTACTGGCAAATTGTAATGTTGATGGTTTTAGTTTTTGGTACGTTTCCGCATATATATTGTCATACACAAGGACAAGGATATTCTTTGTTCTGTTAGTATTTATAATCGAATAATTAATGTGACAGTCATATTGATGATTATTCGATTAGGAAAATAGCAGAAATTCAGGATGATTTTTCTGAATAAAAACAAACATTTCATATCTCAAAGTTTCACTCTAAATATGATAGAAATTCTACCCAATTATTTACAGAATGTTGGTAAATTTAGCTCTCTTTTTTATGTAAGCATGTACTGCTTAGTTTATGTTTGATAGAACTCAAAGCTCTGATGTTGTAACTTAGGCACTTTGCCTCCCCTATACATATAAAAATAAAAATAAAAAATGTATGGAGTGGTGTAAATTTGGTAAAAAAAAAATTAAAAAGCGGAAAAATATGGGGGGGAGTCAAAAAAGCTGCGTGGCATCTAATTGGCGGGCGTTGTAGAAATTTGACCATAGAGCCCATTTGGTTTTGGAACACATGACCGTTTTGTCTTGTTCTCATGATTGCTGAGTGAACCTGAACCATATGGCTGGGTAGATGATGGATCTCATGGCCACGGGGATCTGAATCTTGTCTTCATCGCTGATTATGAGTCTATTTTATTGGGCACCCAAACTCTTTTATGTTTCAATCTTAATCTAAGAAATCATTCATTTATAAATGTTGAACAAACATAGAGAACAGAAGAAATCTGCATGGTTTAAGCTAAAGTGGTAACATGTTTTTCGCTCTTAATCAGGTTTTTCTCTGTTCAAGCTCGTATTTATAAGTTAATAATGGGAGGTCTTTGCTTATCGAATGAAGTCGGACGAGCAATATAATATTCTCTGTTCGAAAATAACTGTTTAATTTAAATTATATGAAAGTGAAAATTCAAACATAATTATTATTTTAAGATCGATGTATTATCTTTTCTTTCTTTTTTTTTTTTTGGCTTTAATACAAATTATACAATCCCGGGTGTCGTTTCAAGAAACCGTGAACGATGTGGACAATTGAAATGAAAATTATTTTCATTTTCCCACATGATCTATCGGAACCGGAACCTACAGAAACCAACAATTCTATGTGTATATATCTATTAATTCTCTATCTACATAATGCAATTGTTACATGATCATTATCACTATAACATATATATTTTCATTGTCAACCAAATTAATATATTTTGAAGTGTCTAAATGTAGATAAATGCCATCAGCATTCAGCAAGTAGTTTCATTGAACCAACGGATTTCACCAAGTTGGGATTTACATTACCCCTTTGTGACGAGAATGCGTTTACGATTGCCAAATAGTAATCCGATTTAGGTCATTTTCGAAAAAATAACCAAAAAAAAGAAAAAAGAAAAAAGAAAGTGGGGAAAAAAAAAAGAGAGACAGATTTCACTAAACCAGCCGGTCTAATCATTTTCATTAGAAAGCCTATATTAATAAGCCCAGAGTCAGTCTAGTCCAGGACTAATAGGTGGAAAATGAAATTGAATAACACAGTCCATTCATTAAAACGGGCTCACAAATCAGTCGTTAAAGCTTTTCAAGTGGCCTAATAGAGATTGTACCGTAAGATTAATGCTTAAGATTATTATTCAGTTTCTCAAAAAAAAAAAAGAAAAAAAGAAGATTATGATTCAGTTTCGCATTTGAGGATGTTTTGATGATATAAAAGAAGTGAACCTTTTAATTGATTACTAGATGGTTCTTTGTCGGCGTTGCACGACCACTTTGTATTTTTAGTATAATATAGATAAATATTTATATTGACCAAAACTGGAATGGTTTTGACAATGAAGATGCCTTATTTACATCATCTTTAGCAAGTTAGATGATAACAATACTTCTAGAGAGCAGCTTTTCCTCTGTGTCCAAATTTAACTTCTTCCGAAGGAAGGTTATACATCTTAAATCATGTCAAGTTTTTCCCATATAATGAATGATACAAATAATACTCAAGTTCTACATTAGATAGAATCACATAATATAATATACATGCACAATTTGAAACTAAAATTTTACTTTATCTCAAAAATTCAAAACAAATGTATAAAAGAAGCTAGAATTGACTTTGCTTTTCTCAAACTCAATTAGCAACTTTAAAAATAAGCTAAAGAGGATAGAAAAAAAGAATGCATTATTAACATGATAAAATCAAACTTATCCTACCACTCTACTAATAGAAGGAAAAAGAAAAAAATCCAGTGCTGCATCTGTGCAGGAGAAAGGGGGGAAAGGGCTGCAAGAAACCATTAAGTATAGCACAATGTCAATTGTCAAGAAGTCAATATAATTTTTCATGTTCCAGTTTCAGTATTCAGTGTCCATAAGCTAAAACATGTTCAAGCAAAGCATGCATCGAGAGTAAAAATAAGAAGATCTCTGAGATCAACGGATTGAAAGAAAGACATTTTAGGCTAGAAGAACATGCTCCTTTTTGTCTACCAAGTGTGTAAAAACTACACTCAAGTTCAGTACAACCAGGTTAAAATGCATCACTCCAACAAAAAAATAAAAATAAAAATCCAAAAGTGACACGATGAAAAAAGAAAAACCTCGGATAAGAACAAGTATAATAACTAATACTCTCTCTGTCCCAAAATTCTTGTCCAGTTTGAGATTTCACTTTTAATACAATTTGAACTAAAAATGAAAACCTAAACTGAACAATAATTATGGGACGGAGGGAGTACTATTCTTCTAAGATATAGAGCAAACAAGAAACTACATTCCTCTTTGTCCATATCTCACACAAACGGAACCAAAACCAAACCCACAGCCGGAATAAAGTTCCCCCGATGAGACTAAGCAGCTAGCTACCATTCTGACCCCCAGCAAAAAGATTCCTTCTAACTAAACAAGTTTACAAACTTGGAATTCTTCCAAATCAACATCGTATCCAAACTCATTTGTCTTCCTTGAAAGGAGATATTAGCAACATTTGGCTTTACTACAGTTTAACTGAATACTTAGACACATTGAACAATACACACCCCAAAAATATCATGCCTTTTATTTAGTACGCAAATCAAAAGTATCAGGCCTTTTTTTTCCTGAATTCGGGGCTGACAAGGATTACAAGTAATCAAGTGCAAGTTATCCAGGAAATGCTACATGGACCAATACCAACTTAATTGATAAACTGCAAGAAGGAAACTCAAATGGACAAATATCAAATTACATCTCTGATAAACTTGTAAACTACATAAATAAATCCCAAAAAAAGAAAATGTGAATCATGTCTAAAAATTTCACATGTCTAGAGGGAAGAAAAATAAGATTAAATAGAAAGACTTCGGTGCTATTAAATTACACAGCATACAAATGTTTATAACCCTCCAAATTAAAAGTCCAGATTAATAGTGAGGCAGTTTGAACAAACCGAGTTCATTAATTTGAGCAAAATCAGCAAGCTAGTAAAATTAAAATATAGAAGAGTGTGGGTTATTGAAGTCGGACCTTAATCTTGGACTTGATTGCCGATGGTGTTGCTGCTCCCAAATACAAGAGTAAGAGTTTTCTCAGTCAGGGTATCCGCAAAGATCTACAAATCGCTCTTCCTCTACTTCTTCCAGGGAGAGGTCGACCAAATAGAAGGGTATGACCGTGAAATTGGTGTTGGGAGTAGAAAGAAGCCGCGGAGGAGGAAAGCGGACTGAATTGTTAATTCATTATTCGTATTACAGATTTTTCTTTTTCCTCTGAATTAGCCGCAGATGAGGAATTTTGGGACGGCAGGGAAGAGGAAAGGACGATGAGCTATTTGTGTGGCAGAAAAATGTCTAAAATTAAAGTTGGGGTGTTTTTCTTGTATAGCAGTCAAAACGTCGTCGTTTTGATTTTCAAGGATTAAATTTACTGGCTTCCGGATTTTTTTTTAACTGGAGGGTTTTTGTTTTGAAATTTCATATTTATCTATCGACTATTTTACCCTTTTCTAAATTGTTGATGTTATCGTTAGTTTTCCAACTAATCAAAATATTAAAATATAATTGAAAGAGATTTTTTTATAAGAAAAAAAAAAGATAAGTCATATATAAGTGATTTGGGTTAAAAAAAAGGAATATAAGAACGAAAACTGAATTATTTAATACTTATTTCAAAATTAATAAATTCAACATTTTTATTTCAATACTATACATTCAGAGTTAAAGTAAAACCTTCGGCTGAGACGGGAGGGGTCGAATCTCCTTTGGCCATTTTTCTCTTTTTTATTTTCGTATTTCCTCCTCCTTGTTTCATAGTTTGAAGGTATCGTATTTTTCCTTGGAGAATCTCATATCTTTTTGTCTGAGACTATGAATATAATTTAATATCATGTTAATAAAAAGGGGCTAAGAAATATCATTTTTATATTACGTATTTGTGCACGAAATCATTATATAATCTGAATTTGAATTTTATAATTTTTATTTGTGGAAAACAAATTTTTCTAATCAAATATTTCAATCAATGTTGCTTATCCACGGAAATAATTCATTATAATGAAATTGATCCATTACCTTTATTATCTGGATCAAGTGTTTACTTTTTGGATCATATTCAGTTTTGTGGTTTATATATTAAGCACCTAAGGAATCTTTCTCTGCAGATAACATTTGTCCCACCAATAACACAAGTTACAATTAAAACTGGGATCCAAAGGAATTGGATGCCATGCATCACCTGATTCTAGAAGGGAAAAAACCCTTTCGAAAGCTAGCTAATTGGTATTTTATTAAGATTTCTAACCTTGTTGTAGAACAATCAATTAACAAATAAATAAATAAAACGTCATACCTTCTTCAAGCTGCGATACAAAACTGAAGTTTTTAATTAGGAGCCCCGTTATCTTCCTCATTCAAAGTATCTTAATAAGTCATGTAAAAGCATGCTCAAAGAGCAGGTAACAAAGGAAAACCACATAAATATTAATGTCATTTTTCTTGCAGTAGTTAGATTCTTTGAAAAAAACAAAAAAAAACCACATAATAATTGGTCTTAGCTACTTAGGTTCAGTAACACCTAACTCTTTAAATTTTTCAATTTGCAAAAGTGTCGGTAATGGTATCTGATGATTTCGCAAGTTAGATTTTTCATTTGGCCTATTTGGATGTACTCTCTCACAACATTGATTATTTATTTTAGATTTTAATTTAAGCGACAATTATTTCGAGATAGAAAGAATCATATATTAAGGTTTCGGCAAAGATATGTTTGACAATTGCTTTAATTGTAATTGGGGAAAAAATGAATATACGATCATTACTTTGGCCTCGAATTCACTAATTTTTGTGATGGTGTTGCTTAGCTAAGTCTTGACAAAATGGTGGATATAGAACCTTCATAAATATATATATATATATATATATGTATATATATATATATACATAATGAAGTAGTGAATATTGCTACTTTTAATCAAATTTATAGAGAAAAGTTATAATCAATGGTGTGCCCATAGCTGAATATAAACCCTATCATCTAATCTTCAATGTATGAACCTTGTAATACGATCGTGATTTCTTCTACTATAATTCATATATTTTGGAATTTTTTTCTAAGAATATCATTCCAAACATACATGATGTAACCCAAAATCCTCAGTATTTAGTAACAAAAGTATCAATGAAATTAATTAGTCATTGTTTCTGATTGTAGACAGAAATGCAACTGGAAAAAAAATAATAATAACAGTAGGCTTTATTTGGTAAGACACATTGCGAACACAGAAATGGACGTCTCCATATTAAATTGAGTCTACTGAAAATTATCAGTATGAACTAAGCTTAATTTGGTTCCTTTCTTTTCATTTTTCCAAGGTAACGAAGCCATTTGAACTTCTGGTCAAATTTAGGTGTTTGGGATGATTTTTCGTTGGTTAACAAAAGATACTCAACTACTACTTTATTAATTGCTCTTTAGCATGCACATAAAAAAGATATAACTTCAGTCTCACTCTTTTCCTACTACCATGAAAATCATGATTATCAATAATTGATTCTACTATATATCCTCTCAATGATTCTATAACCACTTCAGTTGATATGTAATTTTCAAAGAGAGAAAAAAAACAAACACAAGGATACCTAAAACAATGAACTAAAAGAATTTTAAAATGTATGAGTTTGTATGATTGTGGTCTCGCACTCTCATTAGCAAACGTCTCTTTCTGTTTCATCTACCATGCTAGTTCAATCTAATTGATTAAATTTCACCTAAACAAACAACTAAGACATTTCATTAGGACGTGAAAAGTGCAATGATTTATGCTTCCTCATGATGATCTAAAGAAGCCCTTATATTTCTTTCATTTTAGTTCATCATCATCTCAATTCAGTGGGATAGGGGATTTTTGCTTTATAATAAGATGTATGATCCAATATTTGCTAAAAGCTTTAGTAAATATGAGCAAAAGAGATTTGGATGCTGGGCAATTCTGATATGCATGATTATGGTGGTGACCATTTGCATGGAATTCAAGCCTAATTTTCATCCTTTATCATTGAGTAAGTATCACTCCTTTATTCATCATTCAATCCATGCCAAATTGATTCATTTCTTCTTGATTCAAACTCTCTGTTTTTCTACCCTCCTTGATGCAAATTCAGTTGGGAATGCACTGAACTTGCAATTGTCAATAAATGGAGCTCAAGACATGATAGTAACCAAGGTCGACAAGGGCATTTCCTCTCCATCATCAGGTATTGCATTCTTATGTTCTCTACTATCTAGCCAAAATTCATTCAGCTAAGACTTAAAGGATAGGTTTCTCCTCTTCTTCTCCTTCTTGTTCTTCTCCAAAATCACTAATTGATGGTATAAATTCCTTACAATTATCATTGTTGCAGTTTAGGTTGTGATCATTTCTCTTATGAGATAGTTTTGATATACAAAAATTGAGATATTGTCTATATATCTTATTTCAGAATAGCCGTTCCAATATTGTAACTTAAAAATATTAATTAATTGAGGATAAATGAATAGATGTTATTGATTTGTTCTTCAAGTTCACAAAGATTCAATCATTCAATCCAATTTCGCAGAAAGAAAATCAGAGATGGTGAAGGCAACTAATAACACGTCCGAAGCAGTACTCGACGAGACTCATGATGTTCTATCTCCATCAGGTTTAATATTTATATGCATATATATGGTATATTTAAGATAGCTCCAATTTTTATTTTTATTTTTATTTAAAAAAAATTCTAGTGTGACATAAAATTAACTAATCATAATACCCGGCTACTTAATAAAAAACATGAAAAAAAATTATTCTTTACATTTCAAAATTACAATCGTATTTAAAAAAAATTATTTTTTAAGTTTCAAAATTATAATCGTATTTGTTGAAATGATTTTATAGCAACGATCCTTAATTTCAGACGGCATAGTAATTAATTTAGCTAGGGACGAAAATTCCCCCCACTTGATGTTGCTAAGTTTATTCCAGTTGCCACTGTTGACCGACTATATTGAGTTTCTTGTTCACAACATTGTAAATCCAATTGTTGTTGTCTAAACTTTGCAGCAACCGAAGAAGCAAAGGAAGTAGAGCCCATTCATAACGTGACAATTAAAGACAAGAGCATCCATCCTCCAATATTAGGTATGCATGCGTATATTTTTTTTTTTTGTTAAAGAACTAAAATTTAGACCATCTCTTGACACCTTGATTAAAATTCGGATTAATCAAGATAACACAATTTTGGACATCAATTTTGTAATATATTACTTGGTCTCCCAGAAAAATAATTTATATTGAATTTCAAAATTTATATTGTTTTGTAATATAAATTTCAAAATTCAATGTCAATTATATTTTTAGGGGCAGAGGGATTACAGAAATAATAAATTTTACTATTTTATTACCATTTATTTATTTATTTTTATTTCTTGGGCAGAGACTGAAGCAAAGGAGGTGGAGCCTCCACCTAAGGAGTCAATAACAAAGGACCACGGCATCCCCTCTCATTTAGGTATGCATGCCAACGGGGGGCAAAAAAAAAGGCCCTGTTTTGGTTACATAATTGACCTTTTATTTTGTTTTCTAAGAAAAAAATTGTGTGCAAACTATAACTGATACTCGCTCCGTTCCATTTCAATAGGTTCACTTTCTCTTTTAAGATGTTTCAAAACTTAGTCCCACTTCAGACAATTAATTAACTTTTTCTATAAACTCTCTAATATACTCTTCCCACGTTCACTAAAATCAAGAACATTTAATTAATTTAACTATTACTCTCTCATATCAATTAATAACTCATTAGTCATTAATAAGAGTGTGGTAAGAATTTTATTTAAAATTAAATACATAAATTATATTACCCACTTTTTCTTAATATCAGTGTATGTTTAAATGGGCCTATTGAATTAGAATGGAGGGTTCAGAACCTTGATGTTTTCCTCCTTTCGGCCCAAAATAGGAGTTTGTTGTATATTCTGGATTTCTCCGACCAAATTTGTGGTATTTCAAAATGAAGAACAAAAATAAAGAATTGTTGTTGGGTTAGTGTTTATGGTAAGGTAAAGTGAGAATGTGTTCCAGCAAATACTTTGAGTATAACTTTTAAAAATTGAATTGAACTGTAAATAATGATCAAACAGAGATTTCTTCTCAAATACTCAAAGCCAAATGACTCACTTTGTTACTCTCCCTTTTATTTTTTCCTCTTCTGGTAGAACACCAACATAATGAAGCACAACCGACATGCAATTTCTTGGGACCATTATCAGATTATTGCGAGATGGAAGGAGACATAAGAATCGAACCCAAATCCAACACCATTTTCTTTGTTGCGCCAAAGAATCATGTCAAGAAAATTGATGGAAATCATAACAATTCTTGGACCATTCAACCTTATGCAAGAAAAGGCAATTTAGATGCAATGGTCAGTGTCAAGAAATGGACAATAAGATTAGCAGGACATGATTACGGCGGAAAAATCCCGAATTGCAACCAAATTCATACCACCCCAGCAATCCTGTTCTCAACAGGTGGTTTCTCAGGGAATCCATTCCATGATTTTGCTGATTTGTTGGTTCCAGTTTTCGCAACTTCCCGCGAATTCAATGGACAGGTTCAGTTTCTGGTTACTGACTATGAAAATTGGTGGATTTCCAAGTATAAGATGTTCTTCTCAGGACTGTCAAGGCATCCAATAATCCCTATAGATGAAGAAAAGGAAATGATCCATTGCTACCCCAGAATTGTTTTAGGCCTGAAATCCCACAAGGAATTCGACATTGATTCGTCGAAATCACCAAATGGATTGTCAATGAACCATTTCAGGGAGTTCCTGAGGAACACATATTCCCTGGAGAGAACTAAAGCCATCAGGTTGAAGAAAGGCGATGGCCAAAAGCCTCGATTGATGCTGATATCGCGAATGAAAACTCGATTAATCACGAATGTAGATGCAATCGCTCGAATGGTACGGAAATCAGGGTACGAAGTTGTCGTCGCGGAGGCCAGGATCTCCACCAACCTGACAGCATTTGCTCAATTGGTCAATTCTTGTGATGTGCTGATGGGAGTTCATGGAGCTGGATTGACTAACATGGTTTTCCTCCCTGATAATGCAGTTTTGATTCAGATCATTCCCTTTGGAGGGATTGATGGGTATGCTAGAAATGATTTTGGGAAGCCTTCAACTGATATGAACATTAATTATCTGGAGTACAAGATTAAGGTGACAGAGAGCTCATTAATCCAGCAGTATCCTCCTGATCACGATGTTTTTCGAGATCCGATTTCGATCCATAAACAGGGTTGGGGTGCAATTAGATCCATATATTTGGATAAACAGGATGTGAGGATTGATTTGCGTAGGTTTAGATCAACATTAGCCAAAGCTATTAAGGTTCTTAGGCGACATTGACTTAGCTAGAAAAGTATAGGAGAAGTGAATATATTCCTTTTCACTCTTTAATCACTTTTTCAAATAATAATCATAGATAACATTTACTATCTCTTTTCTTTTATTTCCTGGAAAAGTACTTCTGGCTAGTTTTTTTTGGAACATCCACGATTTTGAATCATCTTTAACTACATAATTAGTAAATGGTGAATATTAAGCAAATATTACTTCTATTTTGGGACGGAAGAAATAATTTTTTCTCTAAAAAAACTCATGTGGGGAAGCAGGCATTAGGGATTATGTTATTGCAGTCCATTAACCAAAATTCATTTTTTTAAAACACCATTGGCCTGTCTGCTTTTGACTTCTGCTTTCCCTAATTCCAAATGTCAAACAAGATCTCAATACCTAATCAAGCAATAAAAGAACAGTTTCTTGTAAAGATATGTCAACCATAATTATCAAATTGATGTTAATGCATTTCTAAAATCCATTGCCGACATGCAAGTTTGGAGGTATGTCCAGAGCACGTATCTCTCGCAATGTGTTTGCTCCGTTCCAAAGTAAGTATAAGCGTCATTTTTAATACAAAAAATATTACAAAAATTATGAGATAAAGTCAGCAATAAACGCCGAACTTTTCCAATAGTTATAACAAAAAAAAAAAAAAATTAATTAGTGAATTGGCCTCACACAAGTACCTCCCCAAATGTGACACTATTTTGAGTTTCAACGCATATCTTTCAAGTAAACTACACAATTTAGTTGGCAATTTGATATAATCATTTGCGCAACAACCATTATCTTCATCTAGCAAGATCTTTGAGCAAGGAACTTTAAGCTGATTATATTAGCCTCAGTCAACCCAAATGTCATTTTCATGAAGACAAAAATATTGGCAAAGCTCAGCGCAAAATTATGCTATGGAAATTGTGGCCAGCAACCACTCAAAGAAACTGTGCGTAATTCCCTCCAAATGTACACTTTAAAACCAACCGAAGTCTCAAACTGCTGGACAAAGAGTTGTTAATGTTGTTTGATAGCAACTTTTAAAAAGCTCTGTGACAAAGAAAATTTCCAAATATTGCGTTTGTTTCTTTTGTAGCAATATTCAGGACAGAATGACAAACAAGAGCACATTATTAGCTCGGACTTTTAGTCGGCGCGAACACAGAAGATTAGGATGGTGGGCGTTTGTGATTTTCTTGATCATTGGAGCAGCCAGCATTCTGGATATAATAGTCAAGCCTCATGTTTCCAGTCCTGTGGCAGTTTGTAAGTTTCCTCAACTGTTTGTGTTCATCATTTCTGTACCAGCTGGTCCAATTCAGCATCAAATGTGATTCTATTTTAATTTTTTGCTTTTTTGGGTGGTTGGTTATGTAGCAAATTTGCGGTTGTCAATGCGAGCTGAACTCAAGATGCATTTTAGAACAAAGGAAAAAACTGAACCCAGACAACCATGTAAGTCGAAAACTTGCTTGAGCCAAACTCATTAATGTTCTACAATTCTAGCTTAAGACTAATTGATTAAAGCAGTATATGATTTTAGAGCTAGACTTTGAGTAGAAATTTAGTTAGCTTCAGTTTTCCACTGTTCAGATTACAAGACAAGAGAAGCGATATCAACCTGCGATTTTACAAAAGCAAGATCAGATATTTGTGAGATGACTGGGGACATTAGAGTTCATGGCAACTCTTCCACTGTATTCTTCATTGGTTCATTTCACAATGAGATGCTAAACGGTTCACAGAATTCCTGGTACTTAAAGCCCTATGCCCGGAAAACAGATCGCGCTGCGATGGAGAGTGTAAGATTGATAACAATCAAAACAGGACAAGCTTCAGAGGGAAAAATTCCTTTTGAATGCAGTAGGAATTACAGCATCCCTGGAATTGTTTTCTCAACAGGAGGATATGCTGGAAACCAATTCCATGACTTTGCTGATGTCTTGATTCCATTGTACCTGACATCTATTCAGTTCAATGGTGAAGTACAACTTCTTCTAACAGATAAACGTTCTTGGTGGAATGACAAGCACCAAAAATTGCTTCAAACGCTTTCCAACTACGAGCTGATCGATATGGATAGCACAAGTGAAGTCCTATGTTTCTCAAAAATCATCATTGGGCTTAACGCCACTGACAAACAGCTCGGCGTTGATCCTTCACAATCATCACATTCCATGAAAAGTTTCAGAAAGCTCGTAAGAAGCGCATACTCTCTGAAGCGAGAATCTGCCATCAACGCGACAAATGGTTGTCGCAAGACAGGCAAGAAACCAAAGCTGCTTTTGATTTCAAGAAACAAAACAAGAAGATTGATAAATGCAGAAGAAATCTCAGCCACAGCCAAAAGTTTAGGTTTCGATGTCGTTGTTCAGGAAACAGGATCAAGCGAAACAGAGGTTTCCAAGTTTGTTAACTCTTTCGATGTTCTTGTGGGAGTACACGGGGCTGGCCTAACAAATATGGTTTATCTTCCCGACAATGCATTAGTGATCCAAATCGTACTTTTGGGAGAAATGGAGTGGATGGCAAAGACATTTTACGAAGATCCTGCAAGAGATATGAACCTAAATTATTTGGAATATAAGATCAGCCCAAATGAAAGCTCATTAATACAGCAGTATCCAAATGATCATGAAGTCTTTAGGGATCCCGGTTCAATAAAAAAGAGAGGATGGCTTCATTTTAAGTCAATTTTCATGGATAAACAAGATATAAAGCTTGATCTAAATAGGTTTAAGGAAACTCTATTAAAAGCCCATCAAATGTATTTCTGATGAGGTAAGAATGTATACATATAAAAGTCCTATTTTCCTACACCTAATTCTCTCAAAAGTGCAATCCTCATTCATCTAACCAAATAAGAGTCAATAAAAAACAAGCACGTTTACACAGCAAGCAATGGATATGTATGGCTGATGGGAACTCAAAGCAAGTTTAGAGAAGCCACACTGGTTTGGAGCTCTCTGTCAACTGCTAAACATAGTTTCCTCACTTGGCTGGCCCTTAAAAGACAGGTTGCTTACTCAAGAGTGGTTAATGAAAATGAACTTGCTGAAGGTACCAATGGAATGTGAACTATGCTCAGGGAAGGTAGAAAACGTTGATTATCTGTTTTTTCAATGTAATTACTCTCAGCAACGGATTAGAAGTATTATGCAATGGCTGGGACTGAATTTGAACCTGAGCTGTTTAAGGTTTGCTGTTAGAAGGCTGCTGAAAGTTTGGAGGAATCAACAAGTTAAACAGAGACTTCTGTTTGCTTTGGTGAATGCTGTTGTTTACAGTATATGGAATGAAAAGAACAACAGGAAATTGAAGCAGCAAGAAAAGAACCCTGAAACTAGATACAAAGAAATCCAGGCGGTTTTGACTACCAGACTGCATTACTTTAGTCAGAATAGCAAGAAATTGAATGTTAGTTTTTATAGAAAACTTGGAAGAGATTTGTAAATATAATGTAATAGTTTTGCTGGTAGGCTTGTACATGGTTGTACTTTTAATGATATCTTTTACCCTTTACCAAAACACAAAAAAAAACAAAAAAAACAAAAAAAAAAACAAAGAACCCCTCATAGTTAGGCAAAAGTAATAAAAATAAAATTTTTTATACTCGTTAAGTTCCTCTTCCAAGATTTTCTTCGTATTAAGAAATATATTTTGATTAAAAAAATTCTTTTGCCATTTTTTCCTTCCATATCATCCTTAAATGATTACATTTTGATTACATTTTACCATTGAATTAAAAACAAAGAATCTCTTCCATTCCGCTCCTATCTCACACCCGGGCCTTTAAATCAATTACTTAAAATCTGACATCAATTATCAATCCATCTCTTTCTACAACAGAGAAAAAATAAGCTGTCATGAAAGAAATTTGATTTTTTAAGGATGATTTTTTTTTTTATTCTTCTGTTGTAGATATTGGTTTATGATTTATGTAAACCCGGACATAAGTTAACTGTTATAAATTAAATATTGTAAATCTGGACATAGATTTATGTGCAATAACTCACTTTCTGTCCTTTCAATCGATTTTTTATTCTTTTATTTTATTTTATTCTTTTAAGAATGATTCGTATTTTTTATTTAATCAATTTAAAAATACAGGCGACACACTAGGCATTCGCCCGGGCAAGCATCTAGTATATAACTAAGGCAAAGTCCAGAGAAAAAAATTCCTTAGTTATATAATCTTGCCACGTAGGATTTAATTCTATATGGTATTTTCTAAATATATTGGTTATAAATTGTCAAAAAAATTATTAATAAGCTACTAATGACTATTAAAGTTTTGACAAATAATATTAAAAAACGGAATCTTTCTAAATCCATTTATTTACTCAAATCTCTCACAACAACAAAAAATCTCATGTTGCAAATCTCAATAAATTTGATATAAAAATATAAAGTCCTATAATTAGGCACAAATAAAAGGGTCGTCCATCTTTATGCTGATTTTCCAGAATATTTTATCAAATACATGATTTATCATGTCAACTTGTTAATTTTTCTTTTGGCTTAATCTCATTGTTATTTTTGATGATTAAATGGATAATGCAAAAAAAAAATTTAAAAATGAATAACCAAGGAAAACAAGCACATGTTTTTAATTTGCAATTGTAACTTTATTGCCAAATGAAAATCAACAAAAGTAACTAAAGACACATCAAATTAAAAAAAAAAAAAAAGAAAAATAATGATAAGGGGAAACATAAATACAACGTAATTATCCCACAAAAATTTTATTGTGAGATATCACAAAAAAAAAAGCCAAACAGATTAAAAATGATAATAAGAGAAAGAATTTTATAATGCAATTGAGGATCATTAAAAATTATGAAAAATGAATTAATTGAAGGAAAAAAAGTTTAACAATTTTAATGCTGAAAAATTTCTAAAAAAACAAGTGGACATGAGGCAAAATACTCTCACCATTATATTTTAGATTTAAACTCAAAAAATGAGGAAAAAAACGTTTAAATCCACACCCAAAAAATGTAGCAAGGGTAAAGTCAGAAAAATAGGGTAAATTTTCAATGCATATTTCATTATTAAACAAATGAAATCAACTACAAATGGTGAAAAAGAGATTAAAAATAAAAAAAGAGACAAACATAAAGTAAGAAGATTAGACCGAGAAAAAAAAAATGAATGATATTCCTAAGGGAAAAAAAAAACTCCCGCCTTTAAATGTTAATAACTTAAACAAATCATACAACTAAGGAGAACAAATCATGTTAGCTTAAGAGTAGGGTTTGAGTATTAAATGAAATCACTAACTATGTCTAAAAGTATTTCCAATAGCCACTTGGTGCGCGGGAGCAGACACGACAATCGGACAAGGTGAGGGAAGAGAAAGGTAATTACGTCAGATCCTATAGTACTAGCAAGCTGTTCACAAAATGGGTAGAATTAAGGCAAGATGAATGATTAAATGGAGAATGCCAAAAAAACAAAAAAAAAAAAAACAGAAAAAAACATGATAATACATTGAAAATTATACTTTTATTATAAAAAAATTGAGAGTCAATAATTATCTAAGGCAGATCAAAAGAAAAGAAAAAAGGCGAATGATATCACTGATGGCAAAAATAAATATCTTAGTGTAAAGTAATCTTGGGATATCATTAAAAATGACCAAAAAAAGATTAAGTAAAGAAAAAAATAGTTTAATGATATTATTACGGTGGAAAAAATGGTCCTACAAATTACAATTCAAATTAAAAATCTTTCAAAAAGATATAGTTGAGGCAAAACAAATGTTTTAGTAGAAAATGCAAAGATGAATAGACTAAGTAAAAAAAAAAAACTAAACGTTATTAGTTGAGAACGCAAATTTCCTTTATTAATTCACATTGACTGAACATTATGTAATTATAAGTTTCAATGGACAAAAAGAAATTTGCATGATACTTGATGAAAAATACACACTTTTACCATTATATTTTAAACTAAAAAATCTCTAAAAACAGGTAAAATTAGAGCAAAATGAACGCTTTTTTTTTTTGACAATGGATGCATGACATTTGAACAGGTCTGAACAAAATTCAATTGAGTAAAGGAGTTTAGGAAAAAACCACAACTACATTATAGATAGCATAACTACACCCGAATCTTGAAATGGCGCAAAAAGATTATGGGGAAACCATAACTACATCAAGAAAAAGAACTTAGGACATTAATATGGTTCAAAATCGCAACCAGTTCATCTCTAATGGCTAGATTGAACTCTTGTTCAATCATCAGTGCAATCATCTGCCCAATAACCTGTATAAGAGCAATTTCACATTCATCAACGGCCAGGGCATTCTCCCTTTGAAGGTTTTGGATCGCTCGATCATGATTTGCCCTCTCTTTATGAATTTGATTGATTCTTTGGACCATATGGGTGTCCATGACATGACTTTAGTCCCTAAATTCAGCATTCATTTGTGCAAAAACCATAACTTGTCTTTCAGTAGTTCTCATACGCATTTCCAGTACTTGAAGATCAGCGACTTCAATCCTCCAGTTTGCATCCATGCTGTCTCATGGAGATTTCACAAGTGATACTTCTGATACTGCCCTGAATCCCTCCTCCTCCTCCTAGCTACGACCTAAAAACCCACCCCCCGACTCTCTCAGTATGAAGCAGAGCAGGAGCAAAATGAACGCTTAAAGTGAATAAAACTAAAACAAACGAATAAATAAGTAAAACAACTAAATGATGATTTTTAACGAACAATGTCTTCGATTGTCGGAAATGAAAGGAAGATTGTTCTTCCTTTACGGATATGGAGGTATGAGAAAAATATCTATGTGGATGACATTATTAGTTGTGTTTTGTTGCAAAGGTAAGATTGTTCTTACGAGGGATTAAGTGGTATTGTGTATTTGCTTAATTTTGTCAGTAGATAGAATTGCATATTTAAATTTTTAATATAATCTATACATTAATACCTGATATATAGCGACATGGCCACTTCCTTGAAACATACTAGGTTGATAATATAAAATGAAACAACTACAATTTACAAAAATAATTTTCAACCTCTTAACAAATCCTTAAAAGATATCCTCCGATCAATTTATATAATTAATGTAAAGAGACCATTTGGTGGTAAAAATGGCATCCTAGAAGGTTATTTTAAACGATTATCCCACTAATACCAAAGGGAGGATGTAAGATATTATTGATGCATCTATTAAAACTTCTTATTTCTAGTCACATTGTGTGGCACTGAAGTTGATAATTAACATGCATCTTTAAAAGCAAGGTTATAACAAACATACTATAGATATTAGGAAATTTTTTGAATTGTTTAAAAAATACATTGAACGAAAAATTACAAAATCGAATTACATGGAAGGTTGAGATTATTATATTTCTAGATATGATCATTCAAACTTAGGCAAATCCTATTGTCATCTTTTCGGCAATAAGTTTACTGACTTCTTAAATAATCTTAAAAATTTTCAGTCTCCTATAAAGAGTAATTTGAGCATGAACGCATGCTTATATGAAAACCACAAATAAAATAAATTTAAGGTTCAAATGAGGTACTCTGATCATATTTAGAAGTACAAACTAGCGGGTTGGACTGTGCAATGGTATGAGGTTTTGATGCTTTTATGTTGAAAAAATGTATCAGTCAAGCAAAGGTGATTTTGTACAGTAATGCGAGCAACATTGTGTAGCTAATTCACATGTCACTTTTCCTGTCTAATACTAAATATCACTTTAACATGCAAAAAAAAAAAAAAAAAAACAACTCTCAATTATTTGTTTTGAAATTACAATAAATAAACTTGTCGCACGCAATTTACTCATGCAGGTGACCAACTATATATTCCCTAATGTTGGGTTATTTCAAGAAAAGGAAATAATGTTGTAATGTTCAATTATTATCATATTATTGATGACATGATCATAAACGAAGTTTACAAAAAAAAATGTTGCAAGACATATACTATGTAATTTGAGGTAGAATGATTTACTTCTTTTTTCTCTAATTTTGTTGAAAACAAAATTTATAAAATAGTATATTATTTCATTTTATCAATTTTATAATTGCTATTTAAGTTTATTTGCCCGTGCAACAGACGAATTTAACATCTAGTATAACATCAATCCCAATGAGTACATGAGTATCCCAAGGATCATGTAATATTTACGGATCCCAGTTCAATAAAAAAGAGAGGATGACATCACTTTAAGAAAGTTTTTATGGATAAAACAAGACATAAAACTTGATATAAGTAGATTTAGGGAAACTCTTCAGAGGCCCTTCAATTGTTGTGTAAGTTGAGGTAAAAATATCAAACAACTTTGATCATGTTTTCCGATCACCAAAATATCTAAAGTGGAAAAATGCAACTCCTAGAGAAACATAAAGCATAAGGTCTAAAACATCATCTAGAGCAGATTATTAAAATATTTTTACATATTCCCTCCATCCGTTAAAAAAAAT